TAAGGGAAGGTAATTCACAGCTTTTAGCAAAATAAGAAATTTAGGAAATGGGCTTAAAAGGTAGAGAACAATTCACCGAACTAACCAACGTTATTTGTCATTATCACGTTTTCTGTAGCCGCAGGTTGGACGCATTTTAGAAAATGTGTTGGAACTTTGTGCGCTCGGGCATGCAAATGGATACGATATCTTATTTTATGAACATTTTGTGAAAGATAAAAATCACCATTTCTTAAGAGGCACACAATCCTTGTATATATTTCTATTTTATTGTTTACAGTCATTTAGGTAGATAAGCATACAATGATTCATTCATATAGTAGTAGCATAGATAGTCATATTGCATGTGCGACCAATAATGGAGTAAATGAAAATGTTTATGTTTTGTTTTTTGAAAGACGATGAACTGTTTATGGCACATGAATTGAGATAAGTCAAAGACCGAGCTAGTAACAAGCTTATAATAAAAAAAAAAAAAAAAAAAAAAAAAAAAAAAAAAAAAACAAGCTTATAAGTGTGTTGTGATGAAAATTGATATGCCGTAGCAGTAATGGTTTTCACAAATTGAGAAGTATTTTGTTACTATTGATGTTTTTTTGTTCTACGGAATCATCAAATTCTATATACTAGTATTTATTATCGCAGACGGCGTTGTCACTTGAGTTAATCATTTTGGAAAAGAAGGATTCACATTTACCATATTTTAATTGGTATTGTGAACTTCTCATCAAGTTCCGGTTTTAGCATGAGCTAAAGATGCAGTTGACCAGGTTGATAATCAAATATCAACACATGCTTATGGATGTATTGACTAATATTTTATTTCTCTGGACCTTTTTCTGTAGTTGTCGGCCTCCTTGAACATAAAATAAGAGTAATCAAAAGGCGCAGTAGTAACAACAGGAAAATATAAGAGAAAGGTGATTCTTCAGTGATGATAATGTGATAAAAAAATAGTTAGTGACTGACTCATATCTTCAAGAATCTCAATGTTGGTTTGATAAAAAAAGGTGATTCTGTAATGTTTGGCTTCCTTCCTTTTACTGAGTCACTTAAGATCAACAAATATTTGTCCTTTTTACATGTGACGAAGAAAGTGGGTACTCCAATAACTACAAATCATGACCTAAAAGAACTCATTAATAATAACAAGGTGGGTTTTCTATAAGAAAATATTTTAGAGGGCCGGTGGATCATCCACAATAGAGTTTTTTTTAACACACGATCTAAAATAGTGTTTATCTACTAACGACACAGTTTAAATTCGTTACTAATTGATTGAATAGTCTACCTATTATCCTGGATTTGAAAACCTCTTGTATTTTTGTCTGGCTACTTGAACGCAGTAATATAATCATAAACAGCAAAAGGGGGCAAAGTGAATAAAGAAGAAATGATCCAGATAAAGAGGTCAATAATTACTGAATATTGAAAAGGATTTATTAAAGATAAAGAGAGAAAATAAAAGAAAAACACAAAACATACAATAATCAATAAACATGAGATCAATATGAAAAAAAAACACAACTCTTTTGCTCAAAAGAAAGTCAAGTATCAATAAATGAAAAAAATTGACAGACGACAAAGAATTAAAAAAAAAATTGACAGGAGGAAAAGTCTACAGTGAAAAGCAAATGAGCAGGGGATAACAATTTGCCATATAAACATATAAACCACTGAGAGCGATAGTAGTAACAGTAAACTAGAAGATCTAAAAGAGGAATATGGTGTAGTTTCCAAAAAAAAGAAAATGAGCAGACAAAGGAACATGAAAGAATCACACTTATCTGGAAGAATCTTGTACAACTATACCGTCACATTTGCTGGCTCGGGATCCCCCATATATTGTTTTTGTCGTCGGTTTACGTGTATGCGACCATACTTAACCAGAATAAATATCTTTTAAATTTGGATTGAAGTGCAAATTTGATCATGTCTCTACTGATTAGTATGCGTTCTGGTTGTTTTAAAGATTCTTAAACTCGAAAACTAAGGCCAAATCTTAACGTCTAATCTTCACATGGAAAAACATCCTTCTGTCAAATTATAACGAGCTATTTGGACAGTCCTAAAGTTAAAAGAAAAGATTTAGTCTTACAAATTGATATGATATGCGATTTGGAAATTGGAATTATGGATTTGTTTGAATGTGTCTTGCTTACAAAAAAAAAAAACTAAGGAGAACAAAACTTTACAAGCATGGGAATATTGTACAGTAAAAATAGATGGCAGTGACTGACAAGTGGACATCCAGATTCATATATAGTACTTTAAAATTTGGTTTAGAGATTACAAAGTATGTATATTATTCATTTGTGTAACTAATTTGAATCATTTCGTGGTACATAGGATCCATTCTCCAATTAATATTCGGTAGTTATGCTAAAGTTTATAAGCACGAGGTTGGCTATTATTATACATTTGAATCGTGTTCTCTTGTCGCCTTTCATTTATTGATTTTTCCCCTCAAATAATTGTCTTTTTGATTATAATAATATCACAACTCAGAAGATAGAATAATAAATGGAACTTTCATGTTTTTAGAAAAGAAGTAGGTTCGTATTTTTAATTTGAATAGTTCACGTTTTTAGTATGATGAACAAAATACCTAACAATGCCACCACATCGATCTATCTACTTATTTATATTAGATTAGGAATTTAAGTATTAATTTGTGTTTAAGGTTATGGTTTTGAGTTGGTTGACAGTGATACTATATTACTATGGTACTTGATCCGATACTTGATCGGTACACAGTTCAATGCCAATTTTAATACTACAAGTTCGAATTACATACTTACATATCAGAAAAGGTTAAAATGGAAGTAAAGACAATCAAACCATAGGTCCATAACTAATGTTTTTTTTTGGTAAAAACCATAACTAATGTTGGTGGTAACTGGTGTATTGAAATATCTCTTCTTCTTTTTTTAATATCTAACGGTGATTGTTTTTAATTAAATCAGTATGCAATCGAGAGCCTAAAACATGCTCTAGGCCGAACAAAATTAACTGAGATTAAGTGATTAGACGTACTTGTATACTATAATTTTACAGAAATAGATATTTTGAATACTCGAGAAACTTTGACAACTGGTGGAAAAAAAAGAGAGTTAAATTTTGACAACTGTTACAAACTCTTTAATTTGATTTCGATTGCACGATATTGAGATTTTGGCCACATATAGGATACGAACTGCGACCTCATGAATGTTGAGATATGGACTTCCTTGGCCCACTGCAAATGATATATCAAACAAACTCTTTATTATTTAAACTTTTTAATTAGATTTTTAATCCGCGATTAAAAAGTACGAGTATCATTTTTGTTGTTTTATTTACAGATGGATCGATAAATTTTTTTACTTTGATGATATAAAATGTTTTTGTCTAATATAACTTTCTAAAATTATGTAGATTTTAATTTATTATTATCATCAATATATATGTAAATGTATTATATGTAATTATGTATTTTTATTTCAAAAAATAATATCAATTAACTACGTTTGGTGCTGGGAAGCGGGTCAAACTCTCCTTGCCCGACCCGCTTGATCCGCAAAGAAAATAAACTTTATATGTATTCATCCCATTTAATTTTGCGAATAATATGTGGGACTTGCAAATAATTAATAATAATAAAATAATTATTTTTATATTTTTCTAAAAAATAATATTAAATAGTATATTTTTAATTAAGCTTTTTAAAAAAAACAAAATAATTATATTAACGAAATTTAGTATATTTTTGAAAAATAATTTTTAAATTTTTTTTTCTATTTCTGCAAATTACCAGATACACACAATTGAAATTATAACAATCTTCACCCGTCCCGCGTAAAATATATTTGACAAGAACCCGCACCCACACCGCAACTTAGTTTTTTCAAATATCGATTTACCCGTTCCGTGACGGGTCGAATGAGGCAAGATCAGTGGACTAATAATTAGAAAGTGAATTTGACCCATTAATAAAACCCATTAGTATATAGTTTTTAGGCCCAGAATAAAAAGATCAAATTATCATTAATGAAAAATTAAATTTATTCATAAAAATAAGAGTATAATTAGAAAACAATAAAAATTCATTAAACATAATGTTTCTGTTTTAATGGTATTGACTAGATTTTTGATCCGCGCTTAAAAAGCGTGAATACCTTTTGTATTCTTTTATTTACAGATGGATTGATAAGTCTCCTGCTTTGATGATATAAAATGTCAGTATCTAATATAACATTTTAAAATTAATGCAGATTTTAATTTATTGTTATCAACAATATCTAAGTAAATGTATTGTATGTAATATGTAGTTTTATTTTAAGAAAATAATATCAACTAACTACGTCTGGTGCTGGGAAGCAGGTCAAACTCGGCCCGCCCAACCCGCCTGACCTGCAAAGATAATATATTTTATCCGCATCCGTTTTACTTAATTTTACGGATAATCCACGGGACCCGTAGATAATTATTAAATAATAAATAATTAGTTTTTATTTTTTTAAAAGATAAGATGAAATAGTATATTTTCAATTAAATTTTTAATACTTTAAAAAAAATTTAAGGAAATTTAGTATACTTTTGAAAAATAAACTTACAAAAAGACTATTTTTGCGGATTATCGGGTATCCACAATTGAAATTAGAATAATCCACACCCGTTCTGCATAAAATAGACTTGACCCACACCTGCACCCACAACTTATTTTTTTCAAATCGATTGATATGTTCCGTGGTGGATCTAACGTGGTAGGACTCACAACTAATATCAAAATTATGAATTCTAACTACATCAATTAAGGCTGATGAATTTATTTTTGAAAGAAACTTCACAAATAATTAGAAGGTGAATTTAATTTATTAATGAAATCCATTAGTTTATAGTTTTGAGATCCAGAAAAGAAGACCAAATTATCATTAATAAAAAATTAATTTTGTTCACAAAAATAAAGATATAATTGGAAAACATAAAAAAATTCACTAAAGAGAATGTTTATGTTTTATGGTATTGATGTCTAGTGCTATTAAGTTATGCTTAATTAGGTTTAACAGCACAAAACGACAAACCTGTAATGAAGTACCCGAACACAAACTTTTTGATTAAGTTTTCTTTTTATGATCTAAACTCAAAAAAAGATCAAACAATTACCACCAGTTTTTTCAAATTGCGTGAGTCTCAAGATACCCTACACCGAAAACAACTTTCCTCATGTACATACCGGAAGCCTAAACCGGTTAGTACCAAAAAAAAACTACTTCAAGATGTTGCTACCAACGGCTTGCAACATCAGATTTCACCATGCCCCAGGAGGCATTGACCCAAACGACCTGAGTGGTCCAACACCTTCCAAGGGCAAAGAACTGGTCCCAGCTTGTGTTTCATTAGTACCCATCTGATAGCTTTGATGCGCCAAAAAAGCTTGAGGTGGAGGATGTGTTTGAGCTTGTGAGTGAACCGGTCGAGTAGGTTGAATGATCAGGTGATCATACCTTGTGGAACCGGGCGTTATGCTGCCTCGCATCATCCGGATTTGTGGACGTCTATTTGCAGAGTTATCATGAGTCAAGTTCATGAACTCACGCGATGAAAACTGTTCCCCTGCGCCACCAGGATTCTGTCTTTGAAATGGTATTTGCATGTGTCTCTGGTCGGAGGTCCCTCCATAGTTGTAAGGAAAAGTTTGGGGATATGTAATGGAAGATGGGATTGGATATTGATGATGCAACGGAGAAGGTATGGATGGCAACTGAGGTTGAGTTATGCCATGTCCATAGTTATGGTTGTTCCACCTTTCCATCATACCAGAGGTTCTTCCTAGAGAAAGTCCAAGGGGAGAAGCATGTAACCCTTGATATTGAGAAGAGTGAGCAGCAGGCATAGATATGTGAGTAGCTATTCTGTCTTGCGGCAATGAGGTTGGTAAGAATGGCATGTGAATGACTTCTCCTGCTCCTGACACTGGAAAGTTCATGAACTGTTGCTGCCCATCATAAACATTTAGAGTTTGTGGCAACTGTGGCAGTGCCACCATTGAAGCAGAAGACTGAGTGGTTCCGGATGATTCCATTTCATTCTCATCTCTTGTAAGATCAAAAACAGTTGGCCTCGAGTTCTGGGAACTACTTGGGTCTCCTTGTTGATGAGTGGTTTCCCGAACAGCTTCCACATTCTCATCAACAGCCTTCCATGATCCATCAGGAGAGATAACCACGTCTGTCACATTATTTCCCACCTCTTCTAGAATCTGTAGATATTAAACAAAGGTTGTTATTTATCAATGTGCAAGTCCTGTAGGACATGAAAAAAATGTACCAACAAGAAACAGTAGTAAGCAGCTACTTGCCTTTATCATGCTTTGATTTAAACGTATGTCAGTATAGCAGACAGACTGATGGCAATGTGGGCAGCACCATGATGGTATCTTTGTATTTATTTTGACATAGTTCCAGAAATCAAAACACTACAACAGAAAGCAACATATCACAACAGAGATAAGGCATATAGTTCTCTTTCACCATGATTTTAGAAACAAGAATGATACTATCATTTCTTATACTGGATAGTAAATGGCGTCACCTGAAGATGCTTGCAGACATGACCCTTCACAGGAAGTTTGATACGCTTGCGGCTATCACAATGTGTTATCATACAAAGGTTTAAGGTAACTTTGAAAGCAACTTCCTAAGACATAAATCTAGAAATACATCCTAGGGTACCTTATAGGACAGCTGAGAGATATCCTTGATGGGCCCTTAGGTATGTCACAAGCTACACACAAAAATTGTAAAAACACAAACAATAAACTTTCAGAAAAGCAAATGTCTGAATGCAAATGATTACATGACTTGAGTCTTCATTACCTGAATTTGATTCATTGACTTCAGAATGAACATAATCTTTCAGAGACGGATAGACAGGCAGTGGTATGTCATGCAGAAAGGCAATAACAATGAAGTAACTACCTGTAGCAAAACGGTTAATCTGTTCATTATCGTTGAAAATGAGGAGACCAAACATAAAGATGATGAATTGAACAGAAACCTCCAAAACAGCCTAATGTTTGCAGAAGATTTGTCCCGGGGGAAAGCAAGTTATAAAGATTTGTTGGACACTGCGGCCTAGAATCCTGAAAACAAAATTACTTGGTAAGCATTTCAAAACATTTCCAGTAAGAACTTCAAAAACACACACAAACAAACCATTGACTTGAAATGTCTCTTGTCAACGTCCCTTCCATTCAATGAAAAGCTGTTTGCAAATAAAATTAGCATACAGAAACTACTTCCCCTAACGGTTAATGTAATAGAGAAAGCCATACCTGACTTCTTGAGGGTGTATAATACAACTAGAGTTGCTTATGTCCTCTGTCCGGAAAACAAATAATCCCTGAAGAGCAAGCAACAGATTCTTGTAATAAACCATTTTAATCATAAAAAGCGGGTTTACATAAACAAAGATATAATATGCTGCGGATAAAGCTTGAATGTACATTCATGCATCTGCATACCTAACCTACTCAAAAAACTTCTTTGAAGGAGAAACCAAACAGTATTAGGCAGAGCAACCAAGCCAATTTTAGATGACGACGCAAAAAGTAGCACAAAGACTAGCAGAGTAATAAAACGCATCCATAACATAAAAATGTCAACACATACTACTCTTGGTCTCGGCTTGGAAGAATGTTCCACAATATTCTTTGAAATATGGAAGGGCTTCGCCAATGCTATTGATTCTGCCTGCCAAAATAGAGAAACAAAAAAACTAACTTACGCACACATTTAAAAGGTGCTTACTGCTTAGAACTCAGTAAATAAATAAATAGAAGTTACATCCGCCTCAGAAGTAACAAGAATATGCCCCAGCTTCAAAAACGGATAGAACCTACATACATAAAAAAAAAAGTAGGAGATTCAAAAACAAAAAAAAACGTTTTGATCTTAGCTTAGATCTCTATAAGCTAAAGTATCATAAGGAGAAAAAAGGGTGCAGCCTAACTTCTCCATGACCTGCGGAATTAGAGTGACGGGACCGTTAGGAGTTAGACTAGAGGCGACGTTTTCAGGACTGGTGAAACTCTTCAACATCTGTACAAGACGTAAAGCATCATCACCTACTTAAGAGAATCATAGCTAGTCTTTTAACTAAGATTCGTATGGAAGAACTACACATACCGAGTCTACAAGATCCAACAGTTGTTGAGATTCTCTCTCCGGGAACCATCCAAGCTCACAAGCACTCTGCGCAAGAAACATAAAAGACATTAATAATATATAGTAAATAACCTATACATGATTTCATAACCACAAGAGATACTAAGTTTCTAACTCTGTTCTTATGTTTACCTTAACTGACATCATCAGCGTCATGATCACTGCCTTTGTTTGATCATCACATCTACGTTGACCCACCTGCACCATAATAACACAGAAACAACAGTAGTATATAAAGTATATACTAAGTACTAACCCAAAGGAAAAAGAATCACATTGAAAGATTGAAACTTTATGAGAAAAAAAAGAGAGAAGACAAGATCAAACAAAACAAACGTGATTGAGGGTTAAAGCAAGCTCTTGAGTGTCTCCAGGAACTTCATTATTCCAAATAGCTGCGTCGATTCGTCTGCAAATTCTCACAATATATAAAGTTCAAACCTTTTTGAGATTCCACAGAGATTTTTAGGTTAATAATAATGTCAGTGAGATTTACGTAGCGAGAGACAAGCAGTAAGCGTGAAACTCGTTGCTGTTGACCTCTGTGTGATCTCTCAACCTAATGGTATAAAAGAAAGATTAACGAATGTTCGTAAAGTCTCTACATTTATTTTATTTTATTTTATTACAAGCTATTAAAACACAAGTAATTGATAGTTAACAAACAACTAAAAGCAAATCAAAATTCTAAACGACAGATAAAAAAGATGAGAAGATACCTAAAACTCTGAGGAAACACCATTGATGAATTCTGAGCGACTTTCCGTCTTCTTCTTTAGTCTTTTCCGACAAGTCTCAGTGTCCGAGAATGGGCAGTGACTTATATATAGCATGTTACTGTTTGCAGTTTACTCCTTGTTTTTTATAGTTTCTGACAGTTGTTACTGAGTAGATTTTATAGTTTGTAGTTTACTCCTCTCTATTTTTCATTTTCTTATAGTTGCCCTTAAACTTATGATAGTACTTTCTCCCACACACTTTGTCTATAACTAATCAAAATATATGTTAGTGAATTAGTAATTTAATGGGTTTTTTTTTGGGGTAGAATTCATGTTAAATCTTTCAAATATAATCAATTAAAACCCAATGGTATTTTGTGTTTTTCGTTTAGTGATTTAATATTTTAATCATTTAAACGGTGAACAAAAAAAAATCATTTAAACATTTCTTACTAAAAAACAGCTAAAACTTTTGTTTACTAATATGTTAATCTTTGATTTTTTGTTGACTAAACCGTTTTAATTTCTAATATTAGTTAATTATATTTGTTTATCAATTTTAAAACTAAAATGGGATAATCAAGGAAAGATAGTACCACTATTTTAAGATATATTATTCTATTTTAACTTCTGATATTATAAAGTTGATTAAATGAAACGAAGGTGAAGATATTATAAAGGACTAATCAAATTGTTTAAAAACAATGTTACATTGTTGAGAAAATTTGTAACAGTTTATCATGGTTCTATTTATGAAAATCGAACTAGTGATGCTTGAATCTCTTCGAGTGTTCGACCTTTTGTCTCAGGCACCAAAATCCATATGAATACAATCGTCACCAAAGAAACTCCCGAAAATATAAAATATGTTCCTGAAAGTTTGATTGATGAAAAAAATCATTTTAAGTTTGTATTTTATATATAACATAATATGAGTGCACCTTGCAATACATATATTAAATATTTACATATGCTCCTTCATGATATTTACATAGGACTGCTATATATAAAAAACTATACTTTATAATATATAACTTTATCAACTTTAATTTTTGTATTCTTTCTTGTTTTTACAAATACTACTTGTGATTTATATGTTTATTTTTTTGGGGGGATATTTTGGATCGATATGCAAGTTAATCTTTCAGACAAGTGAAAACACACATAATTTTGTCTTAAAGTATATATACTGGCCAACTATAATTGAATAACTATGGCAGATAATTAATTTTAAGGTGTGTGTTGGTAAAGAGTTAAATTTACCTGAAGCGCTCCATTGCATCATGAAATTGAAACTATAAATGATGACCCAATTGAAAAACCAGCTTGATACCGTTACAAGGCTACCGGCAGTTATTTTAACATTAACCGGGAATATCTGACATTGATTAACAAATCAATAATGAAATGCTAACACCAAACAGAAACTCAATTAATTATAGTCTAAAAGGATAATTAAACAAGTACCTCTGACATTATTACCCATGGTAATCCACCTATACCAATGCAAAAGAATGAGACATAACCCTGGTACATATAATTCGGTTGATCAGTGTTATGGTTTCATCAAGTTAAATATGAATAATTAACTGCAGTGTAAGTTTGGCATTTACGTACTAATATACCGACGATTAACAAAACGGAACAAATCGTCTGAACTTCACCAGGTTTCTACTCAGGGCAGAAAATTGAGTTTAAGTTAATAAAAAATGAAAATCATGTTAAGTTAGATCGGCCATTTAAATAGTTGTAAACACTAAACCTGAAGATAGTAAGAGAGGCCGATTAAAAATGAACATATGCACATGCCAATAGAAGACATCTGCAATAAAAAAAAGGTTCAAATTAAATATGGGTACAAAAAAAATTTAATCCAAAACACCACTTATGTAGTTTATACCATAATGATGAAATACTAACCAGAAGAAGTGGTCGACGTCCCCATCTATCAACGGTTAATATGACAATCACAGACTGTGGTACCTTTAAAAAGAATAAATTGTAATTGAGATATAAAAAAATGAAATATATTGAGATAAGAAAATAAGAAGTGAATGTTTTACCAGAACAGCTGCGAGGATTGTTGTTCCAATGTCGATTGGAAAACCTAAAAACATGGTGTTAAGATGTTCATGCAAATATAAAATCAAGGACCCGAATATCACTCTCTTAATTTTGGTTTTACCAGCTTTGTCGAAAATACTAGCAGCATAAGCACTTATTGCCGAACTCCCACAAAATTGTTGCATAAGCATTAGTCCCAATCCAATCTAACAGTTCTCATCCCAAACAAAAAGCCACGACAATTTGATTATATATCACATGAATAAATGAATGGTCTTAGATGAGACTTACGATCAATGGTTGTGCGTTTCTCATATGGAACAAATCTTTTACTCCACTTTGAGATTCTCTTCTAGAGATTTCTACTGTTTCCTGTGTCACGTTAAAATAAACAATAACAAATTTACTAATATCTTTCTGACAAGAGTTGTCAGAGAAAAGAAGTTAAAACTACTCTGATTTCTGCCGCTTCTTCGAGAACATCAAATCTTTCTCCCCTCAATCTCTTCAATGTAACTTCAAGCTCTTGATCTCGACCATACATTGCCTGAGAGGAATATTAATATGTAGACATGCTTTAGTTGCGGACAAGAACTAATACTAATAACACATGAAAATATATTATTGAAAAAACATCTGAAAGTTTTTAGTATACCAGCCATCTAGGAGACTCGGGGATGAAAAATAAACCTATCAGCTGTACAGCGCATGGCATTGCACCTAGTCATAGATTGTGCATTCAAGAAAGAGTTTAGTAATATGACTTGATTGTAAAATTCATTTATTTTGATTTTTCTTTGGATAGTTACTTAAAAGAGCTAATGTTCGCCAATGGAAATAGTTCCCGGTGAAGAACATGAGCGAAATTCCAAGACATTGTAGAAGCTGCAAATTCAATCCCATACTATTAAATAAACATCTTGACCCGTGCAACCGCATGAATATTTAATTTTATATTTTAATTTGTGTTTGTATTTAATGTATTTGTAGATATAGTTGTATTTATAAAAATATAAATTTTATATTTATACTTAATTTAATATTTTTCATTTTACCGTAAAATGTATCGTCAATATTGAATATCATATAACCAAATCCAACATTTATTTTACAAAACCAGAGTTCTCTCTCCACCTTATCTCTTCTAAGGCGACAAAAGTAAATCTCAGATCTGCTCCGGCGCGTGAAGACGCACCGCGTCCGGAGCCCCCTTTCTTCTCTCCTTTCTGCTATCTTTTCCTTTGCTTCATCGTAGGCCCTCTCACTCTCTCTGCCTTGCTCGGATTTCTGCATCTGGAGGCTCGGCGGTTTCATCCTTCGCTGCAGAGAAACTCTGTTCCGACGTAGATCTGCTAGGTCGTGGTTGTCTGGCGCGAGTAGAGTGATGGTCTCTGACGTTGGAGTCGGCTCTTAGGGTTTCACAGGAGGTTCCTTAAGCTTCTTGTTGGTTTGGTAGCGTGTGGAGGCGTTGTTTGGCTCATTCTTCTGCTCCGGCGTGTGGTCTTGCAACGTTGGAATGGTCGGTGAGAGGCGTGTTGAAGTGGTCCGGTGGTTCCTCCTTGGCGTCTCGGGGGAGCACTTACCATTCATCAATTGCCTTGTCTGCTCTGGAGTTTTTCACTAGCTCAGAGGCGTGCCTCATACCACTAGTTGCTAGCGTGTGTTAGGATTGGTGGTGCTGGCTCGTGGAATGTGGCCTAGCTGCGGTGTCGGAGGCGTCGTCTATAGCTCCTCCGAGGCATCTGAGTCACTTCCCTTTCATCATTTCATCTCTTCCGGTTTGGTGTTCTCAGTCTTCCGTCTCGAGCATTGTCGACATGCTCTCTCGGGTCTAGCTTTGTTGTTTAGGTTGCTATCCGTTCCACCGGTATAGTTTTTGACATCAAGACTCACCTTGCTTCGGTTCTCGAAGGAGGCGTCTGGAGAAGAGTGAAGTTGCTTCTTCTGGTCTGAGAAGTATCAGCTCTTCGGTGGATCAGGCGGCTTGGTGGCACATCCCAGTACCGTGTGCTTGTGCTCATGGTAGTGTCGCCTAGATATTGTCTTGCAGGTCTTGGAGCTCTACTGGAACATAAGCGGCGACCTTTCCGTTCCCGACTTTTTGCACTTGTTCTTGGCCGTGGTTCTTTGTGTTCGCACAGCTTCAGATCGATTCTTGGTGTTGTAGGTGAATGTACAGGTGGCATTGGAGCGATTTTCAAAGGTTTATGTTCTAATCCCTTCATCTATGGCACTTGCGTATATCGGCAGAGATGATTACAGGTTCTGAGGCGTTCACTTGATGCTAGCTACTCCGGAGACTTCATGAATATTCCCGGCATCCGAGGAAACGAGGAGAACCTCACATAGACGTGGTTTTGTCGATGGCAGAGAACATCATTGGGTTTCCTAGAAAGTTCAGGAACGGGTTAGTGGAACGTGCCGAGTTTAGTGGGTGGGCGAAACTAGCTTTGTGTTTGGGTAATTTAGGATATTTTGTTCTAAATCAGACTTGTAATCACTCTCTGAATTCCTTTGACGGGTGGTTTAATATAATTTAATTTAAAAAAAAAAATCCAACATTTATACAATTAGATCCATGTTTAACATATATAGAGACTACATTTTTTTTTTTAAAAAAGGTATGAAATTAAACAATTATGAATTAACATGCTAATTATAAATTATACATTAGCTATAACATTTGTAACAAAATGAAATGATTGTTAAATTTCTACCAAATTTGGAAATAGAAAAATTAACTTAATGTAACTGATATAAAATTATAAATAGGTTTAAATTTGTGTACATTTAAACCATATATACATGGATATTATTTATTAGTCTTTTAAAATTTTTTAAGTGATAATATATATTCAAAATTTATCTGTGTTCAGAATAATTATTTAATATGATATTTATAAACATAATAATTTAATAGTTTATATTGATGAATTTTTTTATCTTGTAAATCGTCAATTGTACTATCGTCATTTTTTGAATATGATCCGTGCGATATGTAAGTTAATAAAACTATTGTATAAATACTTTGTGTATAAAGTTTGACCAAAAAAAAAAATACTTTGTGTATATTATTGATGACATTAATTTTTATAGTATTGATATGAAATATGTAAGTTAAAAAAATTATAAGAATTTATTGTGAATTCAGTTTAAAAAATGTTTTATTAATTTTGGAAAAGGCAGAGGAAACATATAATTATGAGTAATTATTACTTCATTAATTTTGGAAAAGATAAAAATTACTTAAATATAGATTCATTTAATTATTTCAATGGCATTGAGTTGTAAATAATTTTAAGTTTAAGGGATAACTTTTATTAATACTTCTATTTTAATAATACTAGGTGATTTTTCCGTGCTCATGCACGGGCTTAAATATTTAAGAAATAAATATCTTATAATAGTTGATTGATATTTACTTTAAATTTTATATTAATTTATAGTTTGTATGTATAATTTGTATTAATAATATTATATTATTTAGTTATTATAATTTTATATATATTATATTTAGTCAGTTTTATCATTTGGATATATATATATATATATATATATATATATATATATATATATATATATATATATTGGATTCTTTCTATTTCTATGAATTCAACTATAATCTTTTTTATTCTAAATATCTTAAATTTTTGATTAATTATTTTATTTACATTTATGTTGGTTGTTATCTACGAAATATAAGTATATCTTAGTAAGATTATGTATTTTAAGATTTTTTGTGCATAGAACGAATAAAATAAAAACTAAAGTGTCTGATTCTAAATTACATAAGTAATAATAAATTTTTGAAAGCTTATGAACACATATCAATATTTACAATAATTAAAATATTTTATAAATTCTAAATAATTTATTCCATAGATTGATTGGATGATAAACTGAATTTTTTTATAAAATAATTTTAAAAATAAGGAATTCTGATTACTTCAAGTATTAGATTGGTTATATTAAATTCTACAAACATAAAAACAGAAAATTAAACATCAAAAGAGTTATTAAGAAAACAGTTAATTTTATGTTTGTATAATATTTTTTTCATCTAAGAATATATAGATATAAAGTATTTTATTACTTAAAAGTATAATTTATGTTATTTAAAATATATTTAAGTTAAATATTACTATTTTGTAAGCTTTCCTTTTTTATGAAACCATATTATATATATACTTATTTTTCGTTTTAAATAGTTTTGTAAACTAGGTGATTTTCCCGTGCTCATGCACGGGTATAAATATTTTTAAAGTAAATATATGATAATAATTGATTGCTATTTATTTTTAACTTTAAATTAATTTATAACTTCTATGCATCATTTATATTAATAATATTATATTACTTTAACTATACTATAATTTTATATATGTTATATCTAGTCGATTTTGTTGTTTTTACGGTTGATTTAATTATCATTTAGATAAATTGGATTGCATCTATGAACTTAAATGTAGTATTTTTAAAAATATATTAATTTTTAATTATTTACTTATTTTCGTGGGTGTTGTCTTAGATATGTAAATATAATTTAGAAAAATTAACTAAAGTGTATGATTCCAAAATACGTAAATTAATATAACAATAATATACTAAAGTCTTATGCATATATATAAATTTTACAAAAGAACTAAAAGTGTAAGAGTTGGTTATTATTTATTTTCATTTGTTAATATGTTTTGAATTACCCTATGATCAATAGAAGGTTACATGCATAAGTAGTTGATACATTTTTGGAAGTTCATGAACATATATCAATATTTATAATAAATAAAATATTTATAAATTCTACATAATATATGCTTTAGATTTATTGAATGAAAAATGAAATTTATTTTAAATGATTTTAAAATTAGGAATTCATATTTGCTTTGGTATCTTGATTATCATTATATTTAGTTTCACAAACATAAAAACATAAAATTTAAAAGAAAATCTATTATTAAGAAAAAAAATAATTTTAATAATGATAAAATATCATATATCTAGCTCATTAAAATAATTGTTAATTATTCGATCAAGCGATGTTTAGTGTTAAATTTATTTTTAGTTTTTAATATCTCTTAAAATAAGCATTACACAAAATTGTGATTGTATTTGAAAACAAAATTATATAAGTAAAATATAATTTATAGATAATTTTCTGTAATTGAAAGATATTATAGCCAACTAAATATATGAAAAATAAATAAAAAATCAATAATACTAATTATAAATTATTTTTATTACTGTAAAAGTATATTTTATGTTATTTAAAAATATTTTTAAATGTATTATTGCTATTTTGTGAACTTTCCTTTTTTATGAAATCATAATATATACATATATTTTCGTTTTTGAATTTGTTATATGACTTTATAAAAAATTTCCTTTTTATTACATATATTTTTGGAAATTTTTAAAAAGGAAACTAAACAAAAAAAAATTAATAATATTATTTTTAATTATTTTTAATTCATTAAGGGTATCAGTGTAATCAACCATCATGAGAATGAATGTGAGAGCGACACATAGGAAACTGACTTCTCAAATAATATTATAGAGATTTTATAAATATTTCCTTTTTATTTTATATTGTTATTTTGAAGATTTAAAAAGGAAATAATAATATTTAAATATATTTTTAATTCATTAGGGGTATCATAGTAATCAACCAGCGTGAGAGTTAACGTGAGTGCGACACCTAAGAAAGTGACTTCTCAAATAATATTATAGAGATTTATATTTTTTGTTGTAATTTTAAGATATTATAATCAAATAAATATACTAAAAAATATTTCAATAATACTAATTATATTTTTTTGTCAATTAAACATATATCAGTTTATGTTACTTAGTTATTTTATGTAATCATCTAATAAAATAGATATATATATCAATAAATAATTAATTTGAAAATATATATTTTATTGTTTAAATGATTTTTTAAAGCAAAATATTTCTTCTCTAATATCAAGATATTTGTATGAACTTTTTTAATGAAAACACATTATTTACAAATATTTTTTTTATCTAAGAATATATAGATATAAAGTATTTTATTACTTAAAAGTATAATTTATGTTATTTAAAAATATATTTAAGTTAAATATTACTATTTTGTAAGCTTTCCTTTTTTATGAAACCATATTATATATATACTTATTTTTCGTTTTAAATAGTTTTGTAAATTTTATAAATATTTCCTTTTTATTTTATATTGTTATTTGGAAGATTTTAAAACGGAAATAATAATTTTTAATTCATTAGGGGTATCATAGTAATCAACCAGCGTCAAAGTTAACGTGAGTGCGACACCTAAGAAAGTGACTTCTCAAATAATATTATAGAGATAGATGGTTTTATATTGTAATTTAATAATTTCAAGTTATTCTTGAAATATATAATTGTTCACCTGATTAGTAAAAGTGAATCCTCCACGAAATGTTTTTGGTGTAATTTCTGCTATATACACAGGAACCTGAATATAATGATCAATTAATTAAAACAACATGGTGTAATATGACCACATTAACTACTGTGTAAGTAACTGCAGAAAATGTTAAAATGAATTACCACATAACTAATGAGACCAACTCCGAAACCCAAGAAGAGTCTTCCAATATTTAGTAGCATAACATCCTTTAAATAATAACAACAAATCAAATATTAATTGTTTTTAGCAAGAGATGAAATATATTCACATAATATATGATAAATTATTATATGGGGTGTGGGTGGAAACAAACATGTGCAAACGCTACAGAGAGCCAACCAAAGAGGCAGAAAATATCTGAGATCCACATTGTCTGAAGAAGATGATCAGTAGATGAACACATTAAACGCATATCTATAAATAACACTCCAATGTAAAGTATCAAGGGAAATTAATTACTTGTCGACGACCAATGAGCGCAGCGACTTTTCCGCTAAGCGCGGCCGTAATCATTCCTCCCAATGTCATTAGCGAAGTGAAAAACGAATACTGACCAAAACGAAAATTAAGAGCCGGTTTAAATGATACTCAACATTTGGTTTAAACGAAACGGTTTTAATAATTGCGTACACACTGGAACTTACATCAGCCACAGAAAGTCCCAGTTCTTCCATGATTTTGGATTGGGCAGGCGACGTATAGGACATCTTCGAAACCAAGGCCAAAAATAGTAATTTTATTGAGATATTTGCAGAGTTCATATGAATTTAAACTGGAAAATACGAAATCACCGGAAAATCTAAGAAAAGGAAGAAAATGAATAGAGAGAGAGAGAGGATGAAGTCTTACGGCGCAGCCATAACAAAATGATCCAGCGACAGCAACGGATGTACTGAGAAGAACACCATAAGTGAAAGAAGAAGGAGTTCTTGCTTCTTCTTGCTTATTCAGCAGACTTGCAGATTCCATCTTCTTTGCTCTCTATTCCACCTACTTTTTTTGTTGCTCTCATAAATTGTTTTAAAATTATGAATAGTCTTCATACTTTTATTTTATGTGGTCTTGTCTCATCAGTTTGTTGTTGCATGTGGACAACGACTAGCATATGTCATGAAATGATGAAATATTGATTTTTTTAAATTTTTTAAATCCAACTCTAGTTGCCTTGTCGAGTAATTTGTAAATGATATTTTGCTAAGGGGTTGATTGGTAGAGCATTAGCATAAGCATTATGCTCTCTATTATCCAATCAACATTTGGCAAAGAAGCATTTAGAAAAGCATTTACCAAATGCAAATGCTCTCCAAATGCTATTTGCTCAATGTTCTCATATAGAGCTTTTGAGAGAGCATTTGCATATAGAAAATATAAAACTTAATAATATTTATATATAATTAATTTATTTTTCTTTAAAAATATAAAAACTATTTTTATAATTAAATACAAATTTATATTTAAAAAATAAAAATTATAATTATAATTTTTTTTAAGAGAACAATATTTCACATTTAAAATATAATATAATTTATATAATTACATATATCATTCATTATATTTAATAACAAACATAACATAATATAATTTATATATTATCGATATAAACATATTATTTAGACACTAATAAATAAATTATATATTAACTTTTATGATAATTTTATATATGAGTAATTTAGTGCTCTACCAATAAATAAATTAATTATATTTTGTATATAAATTAATTATAATTTATATATAAAATATAATTAATTTATTTATTTAATAATAATTATAATTTAATAATAATTAATTAAATTATAACTATAGTTTTATATATGAGTAATATGTTATATCCACAAATAATTTAATATTTTTAAAACACTTTAAATTTTTAAATATAATTATATAATGAATATTCATTATTTTAAATAAAATTATACATTACAAATATATATTATATATATTTTTTAAAAGTAATATATTATTTTACTAACTATTATGAAAATTTTAAAATTGTATACTGCTAATGCTCTGCCAATCACTTTATTAAAAACTTTAATGAAAGCATACAACTTCTATAGCATACCGCTTCTGCAGCATACTGCTATTGCTTTATCATCTGCTGTACCAATCGAGGCCTAATTCGACCTGTAAGACCCTATTAGTAACCACGTTTTAAGTAGTGTTGTGGTACAGTTGACTTTTATTAATGTCTATGACGTAAAACGGTGCCGTTGTAGCATATTAAAAATGAAACAGAGGCCTTTTTATAGCCTTTGGGCCTTACAAAGATCCTTACCATCTTCCGGGCCTTTTAAGAATCGAACAATCCTGTAAAATGGAATACAGGTGGTAAAGACGGAAACAAATCACGACAACTTAAAGGCCTAGATTTAGTGCCACGCTGGCGATCCGAGTGATTTCATTTTTAGCCAATCAGAGTTATTGCGTCAAGCCTTTATATAGACAAGGACAGAACCCTAGAAGCAAGCACTCAACATCTTCCTCCGATTTCAGACTTTACCAACTTTCTCACTTCGATTTCTGCGAATTTTATTCTACAAAAAAAGAGAGACGATGAGCACCGGTGCAGGAAGCGGAACAACCAAAGGTGGAAGAGGAAAGCCAAAGGCCACCAAGTCTGTCTCTCGTTCATCAAAAGCCGGTCTTCAGTTCCCTGTCGGAAGAATCGCCAGATTCCTCAAGGCCGGCAAATACGCCGAGCGTGTCGGTGCCGGAGCTCCGGTCTATCTCTCCGCCGTTCTTGAATACCTCGCCGCTGAGGTATAATAACTCCGAATCTATTCGCTAAGGTTTCGAATCTTGTCTGTTTTTTTTTTAATACTGATTCGATTTGGATTTTTGGGACAGGTGTTGGAGCTAGCTGGAAACGCGGCGAGGGATAACAAGAAGACACGTATTGTGCCGAGACACATTCAGCTTGCGGTGAGGAACGATGAGGAGCTTAGTAAGCTTCTGGGAGCTGTGACGATTGCTAACGGTGGAGTGTTGCCGAACATTCATTCGAACCTTTTGCCTTCCAAAGTTGGGAAGAACAAAGGAGACATTGGATCTGCTTCTCAAGAGTTTTGAGTTCTCTGCTTCTCAAGTGCTGAGTTCTCTTTTAGTCTCTTTGTTGTTTGTAAAATATCAATCTTTGCTTTTAAGGCTAAGCATATGGCTTTCGTACCTAATGTTTCAATGATATAAGTTTCGTAATGGATCATAGGTTTGATTCAATTCTTCTACAATTGCATGTCCAAAGTCGCAGTGAAAAACAAATTCAGAACGAATGAGTTCTATGTTCTTCTGAGTTTCACCTTCATTTTGTCTCTTACTTGTCGGAAACCATTTTTTGGTAATATGTTTTGAAGCTAACCTTATGGCTTTTGCAACAAATGTTTTAGTAGCATGATGATATAATGTTAGTAATGGATCATGATCTCTTGTTTGTAGATGCAGGGTAAACACAAATCTAGAACATTTGCGGAACAAAATCTCAATCTCATTTTCATTGCATCAGTCATTTCCATTACTCACCTTGTTTTACAAATAATTACATGTTCAAAAATCTGATAGACATCAGCATGGGGATGTAGGTCAAATGGTTGAGTGATCGCTTTGCATAGGATCTGCTTATTATACATGTTTTTGAAGCTAATCATATTGCTTTTGCACATGTTTCAATCGTAGAATGATCGAATTGTCGTAATGGATCATAATATCTTTGTTCAACAACAAAAATAAGGAAAACGCAGCGTTTTGGTGAGAGGAAAAAGGCGACACAAAAGGCGACTGAAGATTTCTCGATTTCTACTGTCTTCTCATCTGAGGAGATGGATTCAGGGGGGCTTCCGACGGGTCGTCTGCCTCCGATCAATCAAGCGAAGGGTCCGTGGGTGGAAGCGGTTCAAGGGAAGCAAGTTTTGAAGAAATACACGTTTGAAATATCGGAATCGGAAGGTAGAAAATCAATCGAAGTTCCTGTTGATGTTATTGAAAAGGCGAATCCACTGTGGGATGATTTTGTAATTGCGAGGTTCCTGGAAACAGCTCCTCATGTTGCAAAAGTCCACATGATTGTAAACAAGATTTGGGAATTTGGGGAGAAGAATCAAAAATTGGATGTGTATGAGATGGATGAGAATACGATGAGAATCAGGATCACTAATGAGAAGATCAGGAACAAGATAGTTCGGCGTGGGATGTGGAATATCGCAGGGGTGCCGATGGTGGTGTCGCATTGGTCACCGGTGGAAGATGGTTTAACGGCGGGTCTAATTCCTCTCTGGGTTCATGTGACTGGAGTGCCTATGAACATGTACTCTTGGGAGGGATTAAGTTTTATCACAAGTGCGGTAGGAACTCCGGATCATCTACATCCAGAAACCATAGCATGTTCGAATTTCGAAGTTGCTAAGGTGTTTGTGTTAGCTGATTTATCTAAGGAGCTCCCGGAGAAGATTGATTACACGATGCAAGGTAAGGAGGTCACTGTTAAATTCATTTATCCGTGGCTGCCAGCCAAATGTGTTAAGTGTAAAAGATGGGGTCATTCTGGAACTTTTTGCAAAGAGGTAACAGAAGCTGTTGTGGAGAAGAATGATAAAGATAAGGTTGCAGTGGAGATAGTGGAGAAAGAGAAGGCAGAGGTGGCTTCGGATAAAATAAATGAGGATGTTGTTATCGGGAGAGAGGTTAATGAAGAGAAAGAAGAAGGTGAGATAGTTGGGGTAAAGAATATGGGAGACAGGTCTAGTACTGTCCGTAAGGATAAAGAAGTGGTTCAGGAAAGGGTCTGGGAGAAAGTACCTATGGAAAAAGCAAGTCGAAGTCCAAAGTCACAGGATCTTCAGTTGACAATTGTGACTCCTTCTAGGTTTGCAGCATTAAGTAATGTTGAGGAGGATACTGTGGAGTTAGAGAAAGATGAGACTGAAGTAACTGATAAATCAGAGGTTGAGGATGCTTTGGACACATATCAAAGAAGGATTGAAGAGAGTATTGAAGGGAAGAGGGAGTTTAAAAAAGGAAGAGCTCGTCCGAATCTTCCTAGGTTATCTAAGACTAATCATCGGGTAGTTCCAGGTAAGGATACTACCAAAAACTACTAATGTCTGGTTTCTTTTGGAACGTGAGGGGTTTTAATAAAAAGACTAAGCATGATATAGTTAGGAGTTGGGTTCGAGATAATAATTTTCTATTTGGAAGTTTGCTTGAAACAAGAGTTAAGGAGAATAAAGTTGAGAGGATTGTTAGTAGTGTTTTCAAGGATTGGGAGTTTATGTCAAATTATGAGCATAATAAATTGGGTAGAATATGGGTAGTTTGGAAGTCTTTGGTTAGAGTTACTCCGGTTTATAAAAGTGAGCAGATGATTACTGTCTCAGTACTTCTTCCGGGGGATGATGAGTTCTTGTGCTCCTTCGTGTATGCTTTAAACACGAGGGAAGAAAGAAGAGGGCTTTGGGAGGATCTTAAAGGGCATTACGATGCGCCTATGTTTAAGAATAAGAGATGGACTATTAGGGGAGACTACAATGAGATTCTGGATATTGGAGAGCATTCAGATTTTGAAAATTCTTCGAGTAGGTTCCTTGGTATGAGGGAGTTTCAGGAGGTGACAAGTGCGTGTAATTTGACTGATATGGCGTTTCAAGGTCCGTTTTTTACATGGTGTAATAAAAGGGAGGAAGGGTTGATATGTAAGAAGCTTGACCGTGTTTTGATTAATGAAGATTGGTTAAACAACTCGAAAGCATACTGTGTGTTTGAAGCAGGGGGATGTTCGGACCATCTGCGCTGCCGTATTCATTTTGGTTTAGAAGAAGAGAAGAAGAGGAAGCCTTTCAAGTTCACTAACGCTATAGCTAAGATGCCTGAGTTTCTTCCGTTAATTGATGATTTCTGGAAGGATCAGGAAGTGCTATTTCAGTCCACGTCTGCTATGTTTCTCCTTACTAAGCGATTAAAGGCACTGAAGCAACCTCTGAGGTTTTTAAGCAAACAAAAATTGGGAGATCTTCCGAAGCGTACAAGAGAAGCTTACTTGCTTTTATGTGAGAGGCAGAGATTAACTTTGGAGGCTCCGAATTCTGTTAATATAAAGGAAGAAGTTAAGGCTCATAAGAATTGGCAGAGGTTAGCTGTGTTGGAAGAGGAGTTTTTGAAGCAAAAGTCAAAATTACATTGGCTAGAAGTAGGGGATGGTAACAATAAAGCGTTTCATGCTGCAGCAAAAGTTAGGGAGGCTCAAAACACAATTTTTGAGATACAGAGTTCAAGGGGGGCTATTCTAAAGACAAGTGGAGAGATTAAAAAAGAAGCTGTAGATTTTTTTGAGAAGTTTCTGACTCTGCAGCCTACTGGATTTGCAGAACCGGATATAGAGCGCCTTACTGACCTGTTGGGATTCCGTTGCAGTGAAGTAGATTGTGCAAAGCTGTTGAAAGAAGTTTCTAAAGAAGAAATTCAGAAGGTCTTATTTAAAATGCCGTCGAGTAAGGCACCCGGGCCTGACGGATTTACCACAGAGTTTTTCAAAGAATCATGGCCAATTATTGGTGCGGATATTACAGTTGCAGTGCAGTCTTTCTTTGCTATGGGTTTTTTACCAAAGGGAGTCAATTCTACTATTTTAGCTTTGGTCCCAAAGAAGAGTGATGTGAAGGAGATGAAAGATTACCGGCCTATTTCTTGCTGCAACGTACTATACAAGTTAATATCGAAGTTACTTGCTAACAGGTTAAAGCTCATCCTACCAAAGTGTATAACATGGAATCAATCAGCTTTCATACAAGAGAGACTTCTCATGGAGAATGTTCTTTTAGCTTCTGAGATAGTAAAAGATTACCACAAGGACTCCATTTCTCCCCGGTGTGCCATGAAAATCGACATCTCCAAGGCCTTTGATAGTGTGCAATGGTCTTTCCTCACTGCTACTTTAAAAGCTTTAGGGATCCCGGATAGATTTATTCACTGGATCTCTCTCTGCATCTCTACAGCTTCTTTTTCAGTGCAAGTAAATGGGGAGCTCGCAGGCTATTTTCAAAGCAAGAGGGGATTAAGACAGGGCTGTTCTCTATCTCCATATTTGTTTGTGGTTTGTATGAACGTCTTGTCCAGATTATTAGATGAAGCAGCTTTGAAGGGGAAATTTGGTTACCATCCAAAGTGTAAGAATCTGGAGTTGACTCACATTTGTTTCGCGGATGACCTGATGGTGTTTGCAGATGGAACTAAAAGCTCCATTGAAGAGATTCTCAGAGTGTTCGCTGAGTTTGATAGAATGTCGGGTCTAAAAATCAGCTTAGAGAAGTCGACTTTATTTTTGGCTGGAGTATCTACTAGAAAGCAGGAAGAAATCCTTGATCATTTCCCTTTTGAGTCAGGTAAGCTCCCTGTACGCTACTTGGGTCTCCCGTTACTGACTAAGAACATGACGGTCCTTGATTATTTGCCTTTAATAGAGAAGATAAGGAGAAAGATTAGTTCTTGGACTGGTCGGTTTCTGTCCTATGCTGGTAGACTCCAGTTAATTAAGTCAGTTATCACTAGCTTGACTAATTTCTGGATGGCTGCGTTTAGGCTTCCGAGTGCTTGTGTTAAGGAGATTGAAAGGCTTTGTTCGGGATTCCTCTGGTCTGGTCCAACGTTGAATAATAAGAAAGTAAAGGTATCTTGGGCTGAGATTTGTAAGAAAAAACAGGAGGGAGGATTAGGTATAAGGAGTTTAAAAGAAGTGAATCTTGTTTGCTGCTTGAAGTTGATTTGGAGAATAATATCTGCCAACTCGATGTGGGTTAACTGGATAAAGATCTACCTTATTAGGAAGAATTCTTTTTGGATGGTTAAGGATACTTCTCAATCTGGCTCCTGGATGTGGAAGAAGATACTGAAGTATAGAGAGTGTGCTAAGCGTATGTATAAAATGGAGATTAAAAATGGTGAAAGGACATCATTTTGGTATGATAATTGGTCTTCTATGGGCTGTTTGAAGGATGTTCTTAGCGAAGGCAGTCACATTGATATGGGGATTCCAGGTTTTGCAACTGTTAAAGAGAGCTGGAAGCATAGGCGAAGATCTCATAGAGTGGAGATTCTGAATGCAGTGGAGGATGAAATAGAGAAGTGTAGAAATAACAGAACACCTGAGGAAGACATCTCGCTCTGGGTGAATGGCAGGGGAGTATATAAGAAGAATTTTTCTTCAAAGGAAACTTGGGAGGTTACTAGAGTGAAGTATCCTGTATGTAATTGGCATGAGATAGTGTGGTTCAAATATGCAACGCCGAAGTATTCTTTTATCCTCTGGACTGCAATGAAAGGAAGGCTTGCAACCGGAGATAGAATGAGAAATTGGAAAGGTAATTCATCGGTCTCTTGTGTTCTCTGCAATGATCCGTTAGAATCACTTGACCATCTGTTTTTTAAATGTGATTATTCGGCTCATATTTGGGAGATGCTGATGAAGGAGATCCTTAAAGATAGTTTTACTACTTGTTGGGAAGAGTTGGTGGTCATTATGAATGACAAATCGAGGAGTAGGCTGCAGGTTTTTCTCATTAAATACATGTTCCAGGCTACTGTATACATGGTGTGGCGAGAAAGAAATAGAAGGAGACATGGGGAAGCACATTCACCGGCTTCTTTATTGGTGAGACTCCTTGACAAGAATATGAGAAACAAGCTTACTTTAATACAGAGGGGGGAGATGAAAGATTTGGCAATGGGATGCAGTTCTGGTTTGGAACAAGAATGGTAGTAAACCCAGTAGGAGTGAGTGCTGGGGCTCAGTAGGAGTGAGTGCTGAGTAGATATTGAGGTGTTTTTCTGGCTGGTTAAGCATGGAGATTGAGAAAATCCCAGTAGGAGTGAGGGCTGGGTACCTAGTAGGAGTGAGAGCTAGGTTAGTGGTTGAGCTTTGTGGCTGTTATTTTGACAGAGTTTGGGTGTTTGGCGTCTGAAGTTTGGCGTCTGAAGTTGAGGTTTTTTAACTAGTAGCTAAATGGGATGTGCAGCGGATTGGAAGGCTTAAACAACTGAGTATACATTTTATTTGAGTTTAATTTTGCTTTGAAACCATATAAAAGGACACACATTGTTGTAACAAGGTTTTTTCTTTTGAATTAAATTTAACATTCAATTCAAAAAAAAAAAAAAAAAAAATATCTTTGTTCAAAGATGCTATGAAAACACAATTATAGAACATATGGAGAACAAAGTCTCAATTTCAGTTTCATTGCAATAGTTATTTCCATTAGTAATTCATTTGTCCAGAAATCTTAATTTTTACAATATGATAAGCATCATCATGGGGATGTAGCTCAAATGGTAGAGCGCTCGCTTTGCATGCGAGAGGCACGGGGTTCGATTCCCCGCATCTCCATCTTTTTTCATCGTCTATTAGTCTATTTTTTTGTTTAAAACCTGTGTACCTACTGTCTGAAAGCACGGGAGAAATCTATAGTTAATAGCTTACTATATGCATTGCTGAGTTGTGATTAAGCATTTGTTATCATATATTTGTTGATTAAACAACATCTCCATAGCATGTAGGCTTCGAAATCAAAGGACAATATTTCCAACAAACAGCCAAACATTTTGGTATCTAATCGAGATAAATTTTAACATCAATTCCATTATCAATAAGGGACTGAACAACAGCTCTGATTTTACCTTCAAACTTGTCTTGGTCTCGCGGCGTATAAGAAGCAGTGTACACATCAGCCTCTTTAGCACGTTCAGACAAGATCCTCCCTATGGACATACATGCTGGGATATCGCATCTTGACCTCAACACCGCTTTTACGTCTTTTGAGTTTGTTCCCGCAACCGCGACTTGCTTGCATGTGACACGGTGCGTGAGCGATGCCGATACAAAACGTTTTGAGATGAAGACGTCGAGTGTGAATGGCTCCATGTATGCCACTGTTCGTTGCTTGAAGGAGACGTGTTTGTCTGGATTCTTCGATTTTTTTCTCTTTTTGGTATGTGTATGGTCGGCTTGTATCATCGTCCACGTAGTCTTCTACACCAAAGAAGCTTCTCGGGGCAAGAACAGTCTGTCAAGGATGGCGAAAAAGCTAAGCCAGATTAAAAAATGGAAACAGATCACAGCCGAACTTTAGTTGACTGTAAAGCAGACTAAATAAAAACCCATGTAGCCATTGCACACTCATTAACCTAATGGCAGTATCAAACACTAACAAAGTAACTCAGTTACATTTATGAGCAGTCAGCTTGCAACTATTGGTTCTGCTCATATAATGGATTGTATGAGCTAAATAGAGTGGTTTAACAGAAAAATAAACCGAGTTAGCGAAGATGAGGAACAAACATGGACAAAGATGTGCACATCCGACTCGAACGAATAAACTTAGCAGACTAAAATTAAAACATGTAGCCTTTGTACAACAATTAAGCCAAGTATATTTCTGAGCCACATTTAAGAAAACTCAGCTTGCAACTATCTTAGGTTCTGCTCATACAATCCATATAAATTTTAGTTAGCAAAACAGCAGTTAAGAAGCTTAAGTGAGTGGTTTAACGTAGGCTAAACAGACGACAAGAGAAACAAATTAAAAGAACACTTACAAGCAGATCTAGCTATGACATCTCAACCATAGGGACAAGGCTGTATACATCCGGTTTAAACGAATACACTTCATCTACTAATTCTCGTTAAAAAAAAAAAAAATCAAACTACACGCTCAAGTGATCAAAGTGGAAAGGATGATGTCTTACCTGACCATTGTGGAATCTACAATTGGTTTGGAACAAGAAAGGTCTAAGCTTTGCAGTGTTACTTCCATAAATTGCTTTACCTATCGAATAGTTACCAACCACTTGCTTCAACATTATACCTGGCACCAAAGTACAGATATTACATCAGTGATGATCATTGTAATGTCAGACGAAGAAAACTAGCTTTTTGTAACAAATCGTATGCTTTCGTTCTCATGCTCAGGACAAGTTCCATCACTGAACATACATACGGAAGAGTTCTCATTCCGAAACAATTTGGAATTGAGAAACATAGAACTAGTCAAGCTAGACCTCTCAATAACGTTCAAAAAAGACATAAATCCATTACAAGAACAAGTAAAGAGACACACTGTCATTTCTAATTTACGGAAAGTTTTAAATTCAGAGCTGGTTAGCTATGTTAAAAGCAAATATCATATATGATTTGAGGATCAAAATTAGAATAGTCAAGCTAGAACCTCTCAATAACATTCCAAAGACATAACTCCAAGTAACGAGACTGTCATAAGTAAAAAATATTTAAATTCCACTCATATGCAATGAAAATGACACACAGTATCTGAAAGCTCAATTTAGAGAAGATAATAATACCTGCAAATCGATTACGAGGGCACGACGTTTTGATTTTGCAGATGAGATACTCAGAGAAGAAAGGGAGAGAATCTCGAAGAAACCTAAAATCTGGTTTTACACCTGGTTAAGTAAATTTAATTGGAACCAGACCGAATTCAGCTGGTTTAACCTTATTGTTTTCGGTTTACGCTATGTTTAATCTTCATAGGTTCAGAACCTTGACTTCAATTTAAGATTTTGCTACTTTTACGCACTGATCTTTAAGTTTCAGACTAAGATATATCCGAATCCACAGTTTACGTTGCATCAATGCAACTTTATATTAAATTGAGTAGTTTCAGGCAAAGTTAATGCACACAAAGTTTTAATTTCACATCTGCTTTTTTTATTCATGAAATAACACAAGTCTCTGTTTTTTTGGTCTTTAATAAAATGCATCGAGTCACTAAGCTCAGAGATGATAGCCATAACCGAGAGTCACACACACACGCACACACATACTAGCCAGGTCTAGAGGCATGACCTCCTTATTACATCACTCTCTTCCTCGAAAACTAACAGCTTAGCCCTGAAGACCAATGATACCTGCAAAATGGTAGTAGACCAATGGTCAGTCAGTTGATTCTCGAGAAGTAATCATGAATGAATGAGACGAGATTCCCACAAGCCGATGGATATAATCTGTCGTCATTTCCCAAAACATATGAAAACTATGATACTACATTTCTAGACCGACTTGAAGTTATTTTCAGCCTTAACCCAAATATTCAACACGAGTATATACGACCAAGATCAGCGTTGAGTGCACACAAAAACTGAGAGAACTATGATACTACATTTCTATGTTTTCAACTTACCGCAAGCAATACGGCCGCCTGCATTTCCGGTAGCCAAGCTGAGTTCATGGCCTCCTGAAAAAAAAAAAAAACAAACTCCAATGGTTTAGAATCTTCTTATGGCTGATATTCAGACCAGTAGATGTCCTTTATATAGACAATGTAATATAGCCAAAGGTCACTACCCTTTCCGAGGTCATCAGGGTCAGCGTGGACAACAACAGCTCTTCCCACAATAGAGTTTGGCCCATCAAGAGGAATCTGTAAAACGAACACATGCAAAACATTGCTTCACTATAGCAGTCCTGTAAAAGGGGAAAAAGAGAAAGCATAAGACAGCTATGAAACCTGGCTGTCAGTGATTGTGAAGGTGGCAGTTCCTGTGGTAGCCAAAAAAAGAAGAAGGTTTTGTCATTAACAAAGCTAGTCAGAGATGAGAAACTTACTATAAAACTAGGACAGCATAAAACAATTCCAAGGAATAGAAAACAAATTTGAAGAAAGAATTTCAAAATACAAAACTGCTACAAAGAAGCTTGAGACCAGAGAGATACAAATGCTTAGATAAAAAATAGTACCATCATCTCCAACAACGATGTTTCCTAGATCGCCAGCATGTCGATTAGCATCTTCAGGGGCACCGTGTTGTTTACCTTCAGGGTTGAAATGTGGACCTGGAATAAGAGATTTTGACCAGAAGATTAGTAACAATTTCAATTTCTTTGAAGATAACTAGAGTTCCGGATTCAAAACATAATTTTAACTAGGCAAACACCATCATCTTCTTAAGTTTCTTATCCAGAGAGGTAGAAGAGTAGTAGGTACCGGTAGACATGCAACCGTTAGTGGTGTCACCAAGAGCATGGACATGGAAACCATGTAGACCAGGTTTAAGTCCAGAAACTGTTCCAGTCACAGTGGTCACACCTGCAAAAAAAAAAAAACAACAACACAAGAATTCAATCATTTCATAATTAGCAGTAAAATCAAAAACAGAATAGCTTCAAATTTCTTAAAAGGCTAAATAAAAATGTACCGTTTCCTTCCTGGGTGAAGTAGATAGTCCCCTTAACACCCTCACTGCTGTTCAAAACTGCAACTCCCTTTCCCATTGTTTGTATTCTGTGTGATCTGTAAAACCGATAAAAAAATAAACCATTAATGTCAAAAACAGGTGAAGATCCAGAAACAACAAAATGGTTCTAAGCATCACAGCTATTTTAACATCAATCTCTCATCTTGTCTTTATTCAAACTTGATGTTGAAACAAAAAAAGAAGTAGATATTGATTAAACCGACACACAAACCGTATATGAGATGATGATGATCATCAGGATGTGCTACTACATTAACATCTAAAGACATAATACGTTCGTACAAGTTTTCAAATGAAAAGGTCAAACCGTTTTCAGAAGAGTGATAAACCAAGATGGAATCAACAGATCCACCGATCATAAAACTTGAAAAACCATCTCCACAGGAGATCTAAGCGTAGATTCGAACTTGGAATCAGTATAGCTAAAAGAACAAAAAAGTATCGAAGGAGGACAAACATATCAACAAGCCAATCTAATGTGAAGAATCAATCTAAGCTATCATCAATAATGAAAAAAATGAAACACATAATCTAACGTATACCTCAGGGTACCCCTTTGGGAACGAATAAAGAAGAGTTTAAGCTATGAAATGCCTTCCTGAATCTTCTCTCAATAAGCTTCGTGTTTTGGCTTTGTGTAGGTAGTTGTAATATAAGAGACGCACGAGATCGTAATGTGGGTAGGTGATCCGTTATTTTTTAATTTAATTTTCATGTTTATTTTATATATAAAAAGCTACATAATCGGAGGCTAGCAAGATCCTTTCCACATTTTGAGTCCCATTGTTATTCTTTATAGATAACGATGCATGCATCTCTTAAGAATCTGGACGTATGGGCCCGAAAATAAAATTAGTGGGCTCTCTAAAGTTCTGAACTGGTCGGCTCCCAACTTAATAAAATTGGTCTCTCTCTCTCTCTTTTTTTTTTGGTCAAATAAAATTGGTCTCTTTTTTTTTTTTGTCAACAAATTGGTCTCTCTCTCTCTCTTTTTTTTTTGGTCAAATAAAATTGGTCTCTTTTTTTTTTTTGTCAACAAATTGGTCTCTCTCTCTCTGATACATACTTTCCCAATAAAATTAAATTTGCACAACCAACCAAGCACACACAAAAACTTTGTGTGATCAGCCTCACCCAGAAAATAACTTAAGAGATTTCGATCCTAATTGGAAACAATTCCCCCACTACAGAAAATGATACGATCATAAAAACATAAAAGTTTTTCTTTTTTTTTTGTATTGTCAGTTTTTCAAAAACATGTTTGTATATGTTCTCAGTTTTTGCGTTACGCTTTTATTTTGTTAACGACTTTCGGAATAAATTGGGAAAGCAATTAAAAGATGTTGATTTGGTGATCGGAATCGAATAAAAATCACGCGTGTAATCCATATTTAAAAGCCTTTCAATCAAAATCAAATTAAGATTAAAAAAGTGTGCATTAATTTCACCAAATCACGTACTCCTATATATTCGCAGCTTCCAAATTGCAATCTCACTTCAAATTTTTGTGTCTTCATTAGATTATAATATTACCAAAACAGAGGTCCTTTACAAAAATATCGCAAATTTTAATTAGTCGCAACAAAATTTGTTTGGTAATTACAGTTAGGTACACCAAATTTTCACCATCTCCATCTCAATACCATACTTTTCCTTTTGTTAATGTTTTTGAATACATTGCCAAATACTTGGCCTTCACTACTTCGTCTTCCGCTTCTCTAACCACCGCCTCTCTCATAGAAATCTCATCTTCCCCTCTATTCCTCCATCGCTGCTTGTTCGTCGAGTAAAAAAAACGGTAAGTTTTTCTTCTGATTTCGTCTGTTTTTGATCATTTAACTGTCTCTAAGCTAAGCTTCATCCTCTTTAGAAGTTACTTTCAAATCGAACTCGCTAGGGGCTCCGGTAAATCCGTTTGATCTGAGTTTTTTTTTTAACTTTATTCGCGGATCCCGAGGAGTTAGCTCCTCGAAAACGTCGTCGTTTCGTTCTCTTTAATAATATGATCAGTTGAGCACTATGAGGCCTTACTCAGATCGTTAGGGTTTTGATTTTTCCGGCTACATTAAATTGCGTTGCCGACGAATTGCTGTCGGCGGGGATTGCTGAATAAAAAAAAGAAGGCAAATAAGGTAAAAAAAAATCGTCGAGTTTAGGCGGTGGTTCGTTGCTGGTGACTCGAAGCATTTACTTGCCATCTGAATCGCTACTCTTTTTTTTTGTTTATTTTGCATTTCGTTCTTGTTCTAGGTCAAGTACTTGATAAGATTTCGTTATAGAGAAAGAGAGAGAGTTTTATGATTCGTCCCCCACATGGAGTATCAAATGTTTGATGAGTTGAGTGATTCTGAGCTGATCTAGTGTGTGTTTCCCTCTTGATTTTTGTGAACATAGGTCCTGCGGCAAAGTGTGTAGCTCTAGCTGTTTGAAGCTAAAGTGAGTGTGGAGCCTGTTTAAGTTTAACCATGAATATGCCGCTGTTGGATATTGAGCCACGAACTTTGAAATTTGCAGGTAAAAGATTGTCATTCGACTGATTCTTTTCACTTGCCTAGTGAATAGTGATCATTCTTAGAATCTTAGTTCAGTTAAAGAGTACAAAGTTCTCTAAAATGTCTAGAACAGGATATACTTTGCCTTACTTTCTAAATCATCTCTAGTTGTTCATTCTTTTTATGACTAAATGGTTTTTCCTCCTTTGTAGTTGATCTGAAGAAGCAGAGTACCTGCGTGGTACAGCTGACCAATACTACCAATCTTTTTGTTGCATTTAAGGTCTAAACCACACTCATTTTCTCCATATTCTTCTTTCTTCTGGCTTCAGGATATCTAATGTCTTTTAAATATTTCTCTGGATAACACGCCTAAATTAGTTTTGGTTTATTGACAGGTCAAAACTACATCACCAAAGAAGTACTGTGTCCGTCCAAATGTTGGCGTTGTTGCACCAAAGTCATCCTGTGAATTCTCCGGTATGTCATTTTTTTTTTACATCATTTCGAACAACGCTTGAATTTCTTGCACCTGCATTTCTTCGGTCGGTGGGATAAGTTGTTTCATGATGATGTCTGCTGGCCTGGGAAATGAACTGGAATGTCTATAGTTTCATCGAACTTTTTCTTTGTCACTGGAGTTTGAACAGCGTTTAGACATTGTTTAAGGAACCTAGGCTCTAACAGTTGACAGTGTAGTTGTCCAGAAGGAAAAATGAATCTGCTCCGGGTGGAGTTAACTGTAATGAATAAGTTCTTGCACTTTTAAATTCAGTCAATGCTTTGAGTTAATCGAGTTGTATGTCACTGCAGTCATTATGCAAGCTTTCAAAGAACCACCTCCAGATATGGTTTGCAAAGACAAATTCTTAATCCAGAGTACCGCTGTACCTCCGGAAACAACTGATGAAGACATCACAGCTAGCATGGTAATCCGTTTGATCCTCTCTATCCCGAAACTATGTTAATTGATCTGTCAAGTATATTTGTATATTCATTCATTTATTCTTGGCAGTTCTCCAAAGCGGAAGGCAAACACATAGAGGAAAACAAACTGAGAGTCACTCTCGTGTTGTCCTCTGACTCACCTGAACTATCTCCAGTTAAAGGGACACTGAAGCAGGAAGCAGTATTTGAAGATTCCATCCTCAAGGATCAAGTATATGGTCAATCAGAGACACTTCGTCCTCCCCAATATGTAAGAAAAGTAATTAGCCATTTTCACAACCGAGTTTTGTTTTTGAAATTTTTGTAATATATGAAGAGTAATCGCATTACAGTGATAACCACATTTATTGGGTGCTATAGGCAGTTTCTTACTCTTGTTTGTTTATTGTCAAACTTTATTTTCTAGGAGAGTGAGATTGTCAAGGAACCTAGGATGGTTGGACATGATGAGTTAAAGGCACCCTTTGATGCGAAGGAGTTAAAGCAACCAAAAAAGGGCGTTGTGGATTTTATTGAAGATTTGAATCCTGCTAATGACTTAAAGGCAACTAAAGGTGGCTACAATACATTGGACATGGTAAAAGAAGCTGAATTCAATCGTATTAAGTCTCATAAGGATGCAGATGATGGAAGGGGGATAAAGCCAACACATAATTCGGATACTCCCACGAATATGGCCATGGATATTTCGGGGGATCAAGGGTTTGCTAATGGAAAAGCTTCGGCCAAGAGTGTGACCTATTCTGATGAACCAAAGATACATAAGGATAGAGACGTTGTCCAGATGCAGCAAACAGATTCTCAGAATATCAAACCATTGGATGAGTATAAGTTGGTTAAAGACATTGAGGAGATGAAGTTGAAAGTCAATGCTCTTGAATCCAAGCTTAAACAGGTTTGGTTATCAAATTTAAAAGTCCATAACTTGGTGCAATCTTCTAAGCTAAATATGCTAAACAGCTTTTAAAATTATGATGCAGGCTGATTCAACCATTTCGAAGCTAATGGAGGAGCGATCTATAAGCTTCCAACATAGAGAAACCTTGCAACAAGAGCTGGTGAGTACTCTAGTAGTAGCTAGCTACATACCTGTTTCTTTTATAACCGATTTATAACAAATCTTGTATGTATGATGATGATGCAGGCGGAACTAAGGACGAAGAAGATAGTGAAAGAAGTGCACATTGGGTTCCCTCTGCTGTTTGTATGCGTGGTGGCATTCATCAGCATTGTTATCGGGTATTGTCTGCGCACTTGACTGCTCAGCCTCTCTCTCTCGGTCACACATATCTTTTATATCTCTTGTTAGCAAGTGTGCAGTCAGAAAATATAGACAAAGGAAGGAAAATTAAAAGTTTGTCTCGTCTTGGTTCTCTTTTGTGGGAAAGGGTATGATACTTTTAAGATGGATTATTATAGACTGTATAGCGTTGGGTGTTTAGTTAATACAACGTGACATATATGGTATGAATGATGATTATGCTTTGTTTCTTCCTTCTCTGCTCTTGTTTAGTGTTCCGGTTATTTCCTTGGTTCATTATTTTAAATCTTCGGTTTAGTGAATTTTAACTTGACTGGTTCGCTTTATGTCGTACCACATTACAACTATCATCACAAAAGTGTCATGTAGCTTGCGAGTTTGCTTCGAGTAATGAATTGTTTATCAATATGTTTATTCGTTTTGACACATGATCAACGCACGAATCCTCCATTAATTCCGCAATGATAAGAAGTCAATTACAAATGAGAGTTCCGTATCGAGCAATTTATTTGTACCGATACAATATGCATTCACGTACGATATGTAAAAGAGTTCCATATATGGAAATATTTGATGATAAATTAATATGGTCATCATTTACAAAAAAAAAAAAATAGTTACTATTTCTTAGGGGAGAGGTAAACATTTTTTTTTATATTGAGTTCAAACTATCTTTGTTAATGTGACTAGCAAAAATAGTTAGAGAATACGCTTACCAGTGGATTAACATCAAGAAACGAATAAACATATTGATAATCAATTCATTACTCGAAGCAAACTATCTTCGTTAATGTGACCATCAAGAAACTACTTCGAGTTAGAGAATACGCTTACCAATGGATTAGCATCAAGGTTGAAGATGGATCTTCCACTCGGTTTTGGTCAGACAACTGGAGCCCCTTTGGTAACATTAGGGAATTCCTCAACATCACCACTCCATCAGCCTTGGGGATTCGCCAAAATGCAACCTTGGCTGACTTATATTATGATGGAGGATGGCATCTCCCGGCTCCTCGATCTGACTCACAACTAGCCCTCTTTCATCACTACTATTACTCTCTTTCACGCGCAGGATTGTTACGAGTGGAATCAACCAGGAAAATCTTCTCTGTCGTTCAAGATTTGACAAACCTATCAACTTATAAAGCCCCATTCATCTCCGGTCTCCTGGCACAAGACGGTTTGGTTCTCTCATGGCGTTCCAAAACACAGCTTCCTTGCGTGGCTGGTCACACTTAATAGATGCCCTACAAGAGATCGGGTCATCAGTTGGGGTCTCTCGACAAACGCTCACTGTCTTTTGTGCAATGCGGCAAACGAAACCAGAGATCATCTATTCTTCGAGTGTCCCTCTCTTTCGCTGTGTGGGAATCTCTGGCACGGAAAGCAAACTGTTTGGCAAATCACTCTTGGTCTGATACTTTTCACTACCTGGAGCGCCGATCATGTTCCAAACCAGAAAGATGTCTCAGCCTAATTGCTTGGCAATCATCGATCTACTCCACGTTTAATTCCAGGTCTCAGATAATTTGACCATGGACTCTTGAAGAAGACATCATTCTTGTTTCTTACATCCAAGAACATGGTCCTGGAAACTGGAGATCAATTCATACCAACACTGGTTACCATTTTGACATATTTTCTTCTACTGTTTTTTTGTTCTCCCTTGTTGCTTGCATATGATGTTTTATATCTCTTGAATTTTTAAAAGGGTTACTGAGATGCAGCAAAAGCTGTAGATTGGGATGGACAAATTATCCGAGACCTGGAATTAAACGTGGGAACTTTACTCCTCATGAGAAAGGAATGATCATTCACTTGCAAGCCCTATTGGGTAACAAGTAATCTCAAACACACAACATCTCTTCATCTTTTGAATGTTTTTTTTTTGTTATAATCCTGATGATTGAACCCTGACTCAGCTTGTTCTCTACATATGGATGTGGTTGAAACTTAAGATGGGCGTCCATAGCTTCATATCTACTACAAAGAACTGATAATGATATCAAGAACTATTGGAATACCCTTCTGAAGAAGAAGCTCAACAAGTTCAAGAATGAAGAGAGAAGCATTTCAAAAAACATGGCGTTGCAAACTTCAGCCACAAGAAACACAATTAATCATAGATCGACTACATACGCTTTGAGCACCGAAAACATTTCCGCCTTCTTTAAGGTTGGATGAGAGCTTCACCAAAGAGTAACACGGTTAATTTCTTGGAAGAAAAACTGCAAAAAGGGACGAACAATCTCATTGATCATCATCACAGTCCATCAGTTTCCATACGAGCATGTACAAGGTTCTTGGGAAGAGAGTCACAGAAAAACAATCAATGGGGATGATGATCAGGGAATCCATGTTCATCGAAAGGAGTAAGAGAGAAACGTTAACTGCGATGCATGCATTCAATCTGTATACTCATGAATAAATCTGTGTTCTTAACATTTTCGAGGAGGCATGCATTCAATCTGTATACTCATGAATAAGGAGAAGGAAGTCGAAGCAGAGGAAAAGAAAAAAAAGGAAACCAGAGAAAACTCATTAAAAAGAAATTTAAAGAGGCTAAACCCTTAAGATCAATGTTTAAGGTCCCAAATCCTGGTGAAGTATTATTGGCATAAAAGTGTTTTTATGCATCCATTTCGAGTCTACTAGTGTCTTGGCTTTAACTAGGCCTGGGATTTTTTTCCGAACCGAATGGGCCGAACCGGACCAAACCGGTTTTTTTCGGTTTTCGGTTCGGTTCATTTTTCATTTCGGTTCAGTTCGGTATGGTTATAAAAATAAATTTGGTTTTCGGTTCGGTTCCGTTTGGTTTTCGATTTTCAAAAAAAAAATTAAAAATGTTAAAAACCGAAAATAACCGAAAATATCCGAAAATAACCAAAAAACCGAACCGAAAATAACCGAATAACCCGAAAATAACCGAATTTAACCGAAATAACCGAATTAACCAAATTTAACCGAAAATATCCGAATATTTTGGAAAAATTATACCAAAGTTAACCGAAAACTTAAAAATTCGATTATTTCGGAAATAAAATTGAAAACCGAAATAAACCGATAACCGAACCGAAATTTCATTCGGTTTATTTCAGAAACTTTTTTTTAAATTTCGGTTAACCGAAAACCGACCGTTCGGTTCGGTTTCAGAAAACCGAAGTCGCAGGCCTAGCTTTAACTATCTACACATGTTTTGTCAGAACTAGTACCTTGAATTCATTGTTTTATGGTTTCTTATGGATTATCTTTGGATGGTCTTAACTTGAGGATAAAGATGGTTGTCTATTAATGAATGGTGTGGTGTACATATGGACACCAAAAAAATTAGTGTACACATGGATATACTATCAAATTTGTGTACACAACACACATGTACAACATAGACATGATGAAAATGGTGTACACATTGATATCATTGAATTCATTGTTTTATGGATTCTTATGGATTGTTTTTGGATTTTCTTATCTTGAGGACAAAGATGGTTGTTTGTTCATGAGTGGTGTACATATGGACGCCCAACAAAATAGTGTACACATGGTTTGATATAAAAATTGTGTACATATTGATATCATATAAAGTTGATGTACACATAAACATCATATAAAATGTACTTTTTCTAAAAATCTTATAAAATATCAGATATAAATCAATTATGAAACAAAAAGCTAGTTCACAACCCATAAATCAAGATTCGCGATGGTGTATCTTCAATTTACAAAATGTGGGGGCCAAATTGTCAAGGAGCAGAAGTTCAGGGATGGATATGCATATATGAGGAAATCCACCATTGAAGCTCATGAGGTTTCTCTTTGCGGATCTGGAGCTTGTGACGGGAAGCTTGATTCTGATGATAAGTATGCCACGCGGTGGAGCTGAGCATGACGATAACGGCGGATCTGACCATGTTCGACGAAGGAAAGACTTAGCCATGAGCTTGATTCCGAAGACGAAGAACTAGCCATAAAATCTTAGTTTGGTGGTTGCGGTTTTCGACTTCCTCTATATCACATGAAACGACGAGATCGAAGAACTAAATCGGAGATGGAGGGAGATCGTGATTCTCCAAAAACTCAGCTATTAAACTCCGGTGGTTTGAGCCACACAGCGGTGGAGAAGATTAATGACAAAAAAAAAATTGTTTAAAATTTAAAACAAAAGCAAAAAAAATAATAGAAACGTTTAGTTGGCAAAAGAAACTAAAAAACACTAAAAAGTACCTTAGGAGCACAAAATGTCTTTTGATGAAACAAGAAGTCATAAAGTGACTCTCAATGACAAATTCTCAATAAAGAAACCAAAAGACATAATATTGGTTTCTCTAATAGTTATGTAGTTAATGCTCACTGCATAAGTTGTAACTTGTAATAACTAATCTGAAGACATAATATTGGTTTCTCTAACTTGATTAATCAATAAGCAATCTTACAGAAAATTACTTGCATCTTTTATTTTCTCTAGTCTACTAAATGATAGAATCGTTGACAAAAAAAGAATGATAGAATCGGAACATAGTCAGCTTTGGCTCCCAAATCACATCAAATTATTTCTATATAATGAGTAGAGTTTGAGCAACTTTTAGTGGAATGCCAAAACTCTCATTACATTTTAGTCCACATAAAATAAAATGGATGAGAGATGTAATTTAAAGCTTTCTATCATACACGAAAACGTGTGATCTTTGTATTTGAAGAAATCAGAAATAATAATGAATCGAGGAAAAACGTAGGACCTCCATAGTAACAATGGTTAATCGTATATGCAAAATAAGAACCCACACGTAATTATCGCTGAGCATCTTTTTCTTTTTTTGATCAACGCTGAGTATCTTCTAATAATTGCCATAATGCCATTTCGCTTTCTTTCAAAAACAATTTATTATCTTATATTCATCCGTTGCTATTTGGAGATAGGATTTGAACTCGTGTATATAGGTCATCATCGTTTAGATGTCGCGCGACCTGCAACCTGCGATTAGTCGCAAGTCGCAGGTTGTTGTTTGTTTAACTGTCGTGTAATCTGCGACTAGTCGCAGGCCAGGTCGCAAGTTACATGATATGTAAACGAACATGATTTTAGTCGCAGGTCGCATATTTAATCGCAGGTTACAGATTGCAAATCACGCGACACGTAAACGAACATAATCTTAGTCGCAAATCGCAAGTCGCAGGTCACACGACACCTAAACGAATAGGCCGTAACCAGCCCTAACCACAAATTGGTTAAGCTTGGGCCTGGGCTTGGGACGGAGCTTGGATCAATATATTTTGAGCCGATGATATAGAATTGCCACTATATTATACATTTTTGAAAATCATTTTGGTTTATGAAAAAGAAACAAATGTTCTTTCTTTGTCGAAGGGAAACTTTCGGCAGCCATTTTTCTAATCAGTAGCCGACTTTGCCGTCCCTCTCCGTCTGCACGATCATTTTCAGTCTTTTCCCACCCAATTAACTATTATTCATTAGATTATTACCAACAGATTATAAGAGAAAAAGTGATTATTATTAATCTATTTCAACTCCCTCCCCCCTTTGTGTTTTGGTCTGGTCAATAAAATAGATCTCATTCAATGTTTTTAGAATATTTTTTGGGTTTATTTTAATGATAATTCGTATTTTTTTCTTGTAAAAAAAAATAATTCGTAGTTTAAAGAAGAGACTACGTGCAGTCCTTGCTGGGTCTACTACGTATGGGTTCAACTTTTCCCGAGTTAAAAAAGTGATATAAATGGAATCAATGTTTTCTGGGCAAGTCTCTCTCTCTCTCTCACAAAAAAGAGTAGAATTTGGATTTATTACACTTTCAAACCTTCGATCCAAGGAAACATACTTCCTTCCTTTCAATGATTCTGCTGATGATCATACCTCCTGATCAAAAGGTTAGACTTTTTATATATACATGTTTTTTGTTGTTCTGTATTCATATAATTCTGTTGGTCTCTTAGATGCTAAGATTGATCTTCTTAAAGTATATCTGACGAGAACATTCTATGCTAATTTTGATTTCTTCTTTTTTTTCCCCAAAAACCTGTAAGATGACCTGTCAAATTGTTCTTTTAGATCTCTTTACTTTTTTTTTAGGCAAATACTTGATTTAGAATTTGTAATTCAATTATACATACAAAAAATAGTTGTCTGAGAAATAATGAGCTTTCTACTGCAGAAATAGATTTAAGACAAGGAATCACATCTATATATGTATGTTTTGGTTTTATGTTTGGTCAACTTTCTCTTCTTGTCTCTATTGTAGTTTAACTAAAATGTTTTGATTTGCAGATTTGAAAAAACCTGCCCCTTGATTGATTGATTCTTTATATGTTTGGTACCATACCAACAAGATGGCTATCTCTTCATCAATATCTCACACCGGTTCACGGAGTTTCACCGGAGCTTTGTCATTAGCCTTTAATGAGTGGCTACTAATGCTCATGCTCTTTATCAACTCCATCTTCTCCTACGTGATCACAAGGTTTGCAGATTCCTCTAATCTCCAATCTCCATGTATGATGTGCGCTAGTCTTGATCATATTCTCGGGAAGACGACAAAACATTTGAAGAGATCTCATTGGGACATGGTTTGCTCTAAACACAAATCAGAAATCTCTTCATTGGTTTACTGTCACGCTCATAGCAAACTTGTTGATGTCCGAGGAATGTGTGAAGCTTGTCTTTTCTCCTTTGCTACAACCAACAAGTCCAATGCTGAGACTTATAGATTATTGGTTGGGAAGTTGGGTGAAGAGTCTCCCTTTGAGGGATCCAAGAGTGATCCAAACACAAATCCAAGTCCAAGATACTGCACTTGTTGTAATCAGCTGTGGATGCCACAAACCGGTTCTAGTGATCAGGAGGAGGTGGTGGTGGCTAAACCGGTGACGTTACCGAAGATTCGTGTGGTTAGTAGTCTGAGAACCGAGAAACAAGCTAATACACCAAAGAAAAGTGTTAGTTTCAATCATTTGCCTGATGTTGGATACACTGAGCTCAAGATTCATTCTGATACTGAATCAGAAGCTGTGTTTTCAGAAGATGAAGCGTTTAAAGAAAAGGATGATCATAAGTTTCAAAACGTGGATTTGGAGACTCCTCGAGCTATCAGCTTGCCTTATGATTTGGCTACCGATAAGCTGCTAAAACCTGACATCCCTTTGCAAGAGATCGGTTTGAGAACTTATGATTCCTTTTTTCCTGAGCTTATTCCTGGTAATGACGTGGCTGAAACGTCAGAGAAGGTGTTGAAGGAGAAAGAGATCAGTTCATTGGATAGTCTTTTCTTTACATCAAGCACCATGCAACATTCTGATTCTACAGCTAGTTTGAAGGAGAAAGAAGATCTGATTCATTTTAAGGAAGTTCCTGGAGATGCCTTAATGGAAGAGACAGAGGTTATTCCAGTTAATGATGTCCCTGAAACATCAAAGAAGGTGTTAAAGGAAGAAGAGATCGTTTCATTAGATAATCTTTTCTTTTCACCACGCTCCATGGAGCCTTTTGCAGCTGTTTCCATGGAGACAGAGCTTATTAGCCTCAGAGATATTATTTCAACATCAGCAACTCCTGAAGCTCTCTTAATGGGAGAGGCTGTTTTACAGGGGAAGGGAGATCTGGTTCACCTCCTAGATATTTCATGTACACCAGATTCTCTGGAAAGTCCTGCAGATGCCTCAGTGGAGGAAGCTGATCTTATTTGCCTCAAAGATGTCACTTCAACATCATCATCAGATGCTGCTGAAACTCCTGAAGATGTCTTAATGGGAGAGACTGTTTTAAAGGAGAAAGAAGAGCTGGTTTACCTCCAAGATAGTGAATATTTTGAGGAAAACCCTGCAGATGCCTTGATGGAGAAGACTGAGACAGTTTGCCTCAATGATCTTACTTCAACATCATCATCAGATGCTTCTGAAACTCCTGAAGATGTCTTAAAGGGAACTGAACTTATGCCACTCCATGATTCATCTCCAGAAGAGGTTCCTGAATCGTCGTCCACTACAAATGAAACCCCTGTTGAGACGTTGAAGGAGAGGGATACAAACCAAGATGATACAGCCTCTGTGGAATCGGAATATGTAGTTGTATCACCTTCGAAATCTGCACAGTCCATGCCTGAAGATTCAACAGAAGACTGTAAGTTTTCTCTCCAACTTTGCTTGTGTAGGCTTTCAAACTATTGTGAAATAATGGGAAATGTAATAGTAAATGCATTTTCATATCAGGTGTATCAGAAGACAAGGAAACAAAAGAGACCTCTGTATCTGAAATGGCTGCACACACAGAAGCTGCTCCTGTGTCAGAATCTGCATCTTTCAACAACGAGGGTAGCAAGGATAGTAATGATGGAGCACACATAGAACAATGGATGAAGAAAGATACTTCTAGAGTCAGTGAAGACCTTAAAACACTACTTACTCATATATCAGCTTCTCGTGGGATAGAGCTTCTGTCACCAAGAGGTATAAGCCCTAAGATATCTAGCGATCAGGAGACAAGGGACCTTGATCTTGACATGCAGTTGCTAATCCAAAAGAGAATGCTAGAAAGGAACGAGAGCAACTTATCATTAGAAGAAGTTTCCGTGAGTGAGATAGAAGGAGAAAGCGAGAGTGATCGGTTGAAAAGACAAGTTGATTATGACAGGAAGTTGCTGGCTGGTCTATATAAAGAGTTAGAGGAAGAAAGAAGCGCGTCAGCAGTTGCTACAAACCAAGCAATGGCTATGATAACGAGGTTGCAAGAAGAGAAGTCGTTGTTTCAAATGGAAGCTTTGCAGAATCTTAGGATGATGGAAGAGCAAGCTGAGTATGATATGGAAGCAATACAGAAACTGAACGATTTGCTTGCTGAGAAAGAAAAGCTTATTCAAGATTTAGAAGCCGAGATTGAGTACTTCAGAGACCAGACCCCACAGAAGAAGCTAGATGTTGCAGAAAACGTGACAGGTATTGATTCTTCTAGTGAGACAATGAGCAGCAAGATAAAGAACTGTTTAACTGGGTTCAACGAAGAGAGGCTATACATCACAAGTTGTTTGGAGGATATTGAAAACAGTGTTCAAACAGATGTAAATGGTGATAACTTACCAACACAAGAATCTGTTTCTGAGCTGAGTGAGAGAGTAGAGAAGCTGAAGGGAGACTTGTATTTTCTAGAACATGTTGTGAGTTCTCTAGGACATGGGGATGAAAGTGGGGAAGAAAGTGTAGAATTTGTCAAGGAGATAGCTTCTCATTTGCAAACGTTGAGGAGTCTCAGCATGAAAAGACGTAATGATGCAGAGAGTTAATACTGCTGTCTACCTGTAAAACAAACAAACCTTCACAAAGGTATGTCCTCTTTACTTCTCTGATTGTTGTCATGTTGTTTCAAGTTCTTCATATGTGGTTCTGTTTTGTGTTTGTGTTAGATAACTTTGTGGAGAAAATGTTGCAGAGGAATACCAAAAGAAGACAAGAGTGGTGGAAAAGCTCAAGGTATCTGTACAGCATCTCTCAAGATGGCCTTTTCCTCTTTCTTATACAAAACAAATTTTCAGGAATGATTCGTATTTTTGGGGGTTTGGGGTGTTCATAACTTACTTGTGGGTTTGTTTTGCATTTTTCTATGATTTTTCTTGTGCTGAATTTCTGATTTTACTATTCTTTAAATAGATTGATACTTTTGTTTAGCATGTCAAAAAGTCATGCAACTTTCTTAAGCTTGCTGTACGTTTGTCGCCTATAGTAATACTAATATGGTTAAATTCATATTCTTTTGTTTTTATATTACTAAAAAGCTAAATCAGGAACATCAAGTTTGTAGAAGAAAGGATATTCAAACATCTTTTCTGGATTAAAACTCTGTTTCTTCTCTAAAATAAGGAAGTATATTAACATTTGAAAAGAAGTTTGGTAGATGACAAATTTACTAAAGATAAATTAAAGAGTGAAGATGGAAAAGGAAGAGAGACATAAATCTTCTTATTTGGTCAAATAAAAGATGAAGACATGCAAAGACCTCATTCATCTTCTTTTAGTTTGAAACTTCAATAATGTGCTCTTCTCTGCCAATCATCTCTCCTTAACTAAACTCTCGTATACTTCCATTGTACCCACAACATTTCCTTTGCTTCAACCAAATTTGCGTAGTCTCATTCATGTTCCATTCTCTGTAAAAAATACATCACTCACTTGTCTTCTTAATTATGTTGTATCACAGAACATGCCACAGCTTGTGCCCAATGCCTCAGCCTTGTTTTAATCTGCTGGGGATTATCTCCTGAAAATGTTACGTTTATAAATTATATCATTCCAACACTTGGTTAACTAATATTCTCTCTGTTTAGTAAAATGTTATGCCTAAAAGTATAACCACTAAGAAAATTATTTTTCTTTTAAAACACCACTACCTAACAACATTATTTTAAAAAAAATTCAACCAATCATAAAAATCTATAAATAATAATAAAAAAAATCTATAAACGATATTTACTTAAAAAGTTTGCAATAAAATCGAAAATAACATAGAAATGTCAAAACATCTTATCTGAAATACTAATTTTTTTTTTAAAAAAACATTATACACTATGAAAGCGAGAGAATATGACGAAACTACTTTTTAAAAATTAAAAATTGTAAATAACAGAAATGAATTTAGAGTTTGTGAAAACATGGGAAAAATAGTCACCTGGAGACATAACTTTCAATCCATCAGAGTCGCTTATAGCACTACCAAAAGAAAAGGAATGGTCTCCAAGAGAAGTAAGCCGAGAGGATGAAGATCCACTACTGCTTCCTGGTGTGGAAACCGGCGAGACCTGACGTGTCACAGCGAAGTAAAGGTCTAACGCAGGCAACGTGGTTGTAAGTTGTTGCCCTTGCTCCTCGTTAAACCCAAACCCTAACTCAATGGAACCTTTGAGCTCACTCAAGTCCTCGTCCGTTAAGTCAATATCTCCTCCTTCTTCGTTTATTTGCTTCCTCTCGAGGTGATGATGTAGCATTTGGCGACGTCGACGCTCCCATGCGATGTCTCTTTTGGTCTCCAACATTGAGAGTTGCTTCGAGAGACGTTTCTTGGGCTTTGGTGGTTCTAGTGGCATCTTTTGAAGCTCTTCAATTTCACTATCGTAGAGCGATGAACATGATGAGGTTGATACACTCAATGCTTCACCAACCCTCACCATTTTTTTGGATCTTGTTGTTTATCTCTAACGTTTTGGTTATGGTGCTGATACAAAATATCAATTTAGAATGATGCAAAAGAAGATTGATTCCTTATCAGAAACTATTCTTCCCTGAAGCAAAAAAGAACGATGAAGAAGAAAAGATTTTCTTGTGAAAATTATATGGTAGAATAGTAGAAAGAAGAGGTAATAAAAAGAGGTTTTGGTTGGAGTTTTCTAACGCATGTTTTGCATATTGTTTAAAACTAGTGTTCTTTCTGTTAAAATGCACTGGGGAGATTCTGGAACAGTTTTATTCGTGTGAGGGATTCAGAAACAAAATGGTGTTTTGTTGAAATAAATAACCAATCCTTTCTTGATTTAGGTCATGCTATTCGTTTTAAACGTTATGCTCTACACTCATTTTTATTGTTCGCGACAAAAGATTTATATTTATGTATATTAATTGGTTTTCTGTTGGATAAATAAATTAACATTATATGCTTTAATATTAAATAAGTTCAAAAAATTATTATAATAGTGAATCGGTTTAGAAGTAACGGACTATACATCATCATACTATCATATTTTGGAGAAACCCTACACCATGGAGAAAAGCCGGTACTCAATATTTGACATTGTATGAGATGGTATAAAATAACTCACAGGGTGCGAGCAATTATTGTGTGTATGTATAATTGCAAAGTCTCAAAATAATTAGTGTGTTTAAGAAAATATTTTATTCAAATCTAATGAATTTACTAAGACTTCTTCTAAATAGTGTACAGTTTTAGAAGTAACAGATTTTATATTATCCTTTGTAATTAGAATTGTATTGTATATATATGTTGTAATCTTTATTTTTAGGTGAATAATAGTATTATGTTTAATTTTCATAATTATTTCTGTAGACATATTAAAAGAAAATATAATAAATTTCAAAATAAGCTCCCAAAATAAAATTAAAATTATTATCCATAAATAATATAAATTTATGAAGTACAAAATCTTGATAAAGGTGTAGCAAATCCATTAATTTGCAAAAAAAATATTTTAGTTTGTAATCCCTGGGACCGGATAACATTATGTGATAGATATAAAATAATTTCTGAATTTTATTGTATCTGTAAATAATATTAAATTCCATACCGTCATAGAAATAGGCAGAAAGATGGATGGTAATCAAATAAAATCTGTCTGGTACCTCATCACTACCCATCTTGCAATACCTTGTCAAAAAATAATTGTAAAAGTTTATATATTAAAAAGAAAATTATTTGAAAAAGTATATTAAAATCATGTAACCTAATTACGGAATATTCTGAAAAACTTGTTTGTAGACAACATTCAATGTTTTGGTATAATATTCAATGTTTTGGTATGCGGCTTCGATTCTTTACCAGTTATTAGGATTTTTAATCCGATCTCGACTTAACTCTTGAAAGTGCAACGTAAAGCTGACCATGAGAGAATACTGGCCTAGGCAGGAACAAACCAACACTTTCCAGTGTTTGACCTTGACTTTTGTTGATGGTCATCGCGAATGCCAATGTAACAGGAAACTGTCTTCGACGCATTCTGAAGGGAAACTTTGTGTCAGGTGGTGTGACAAACATTCTAGAGATCCAAACCTTGTCACCCGCAATATTGTTTCCGGTTATAATTCTACCTTCTATCACATGGGACAGTAACTGAGTAACAATTAGCCTAGTACTATTACATAAGCCATCATCAACATCCATGTTACAGAGACACATAATAGGAGCACCCACCTTGAGCTTCAAACAATGTCTAGGCAATCCAGCCACTTTAACACTGTTCAAAAACTCTGCATGATATACTACATTTTCTTCTATGTCAACATCGGATGGGATAATATTGTATGAGCTAGGGTAAACCTTCTCTTCACCTGAAATTATATGTAAATCCTTTTCTTTAGTGACCTCTTATTGCTAGTGGAACATAAGAGTAAATGATTCAACATGTTACCTGGCAACTGCGAAAGCATGTAATCATTTATTTTATCCACTTCATCATTAGTGGGAGTAAGAATGGTTCGATGTCTATATAAATCCTTATCTGTTGAGGTTTGAAAAGCTTGTCCATAATCCTCTTTTGCCATAGTATCAATAGGATCTTCTCCATTATTTTTTATCAGCAAATCAGAAGGGATGTCAATCTCAACTTGACCGTCGTTAGGCAATTTATTTTTCCATCTCCAATATTCAAAATCTAGTTTGAGAAAGATTGAAGCTCTTTTGCTGCATCATCAGTAAGACGAGCGAGCAATCTCATGTTTTTTGTTAGCTTCAAAACTTTGCAGTGCTCCCAAAGATACGACGAATTAAAAACCGTCTCTGCTCTACCACCCCCAGGTATAACCGGTAAAATCTGTCTAAAATCTCCACCAAAAACAACAACTTTACCTCCAAAAGGTTTGTTTTCAGAAGATCTTATAATATCACGCATACTGTGATCCAACGTCTCGAAACAGTGTCTGCTCATCATAGGCGCCTCATCCCATACAATTAACTTTGCCGCTTTAACTAATTCTGCACGATCTGATCCTGGTTCCATTTTTTTGCAGGTACTGAATTCGTCAGCATCTATCGGAATACCAAATCTGGAATGTGCGGTTCTACATCATTCCAACAACAGTGCAGTAATTCCACTGGATGCGGTATTTAAAACAATTATACCTCTAGATCGGATCGCTGATTAGAGTGCTCTGTATACGAAGGTTTTTCATGTGCCACCATAACCATAAAGAAAGAACACTCCACCGCTATCATTTAAAACTGCATCCAGAATCTGGTTATATACCACTCTTTGCTCATCTGTTATCATCGCCATAAGTCTTTTATTTTCCTTTAACTGATCTTCCACAACATATTTAAGCTCATCATCTATAAGGCGATTGCCGTTGTAACAGGCAAAATCTTCTGGCTTTGGCATATGGGGCCATTTTTTGAGGCTACGACCATTGCTGAGCAAATGATTTTCGATCTCAATAAGAGCAATATTTTTGATCTGCTCTACGCTCAAGATCATATCTGCAAGTTTTATAATTTTATTAGATCACAAAGAGAGTTTCAAATAAGTAAATTTAGTAAGACAAAACTGACCAGGTCGTCCAGTTTCTCGGTGCTTCTTGTAAAGGATATCTTCGGTGAGATATTCCCAAGTAGCTTCCCACACAACATGAGGTTGAGATAACGTTTTGGATACCAATATTCTCGCAAAAAGCTTCCTGGCATACGTGGCAAAACTATTGTCAGTGGCCTCTTTGATAGCTTCAATGAATTCCTTGTCATCATCCATCAATCCCAACGCATAGCAAGCATCTTCGTATGTAGGATATAAAATACCATCAACTGTTTTTATATCTTCGTATGATGTCGGACCTCTTACCCAATTTAGCAATACTCTTAAAAAATATAGCTCATCACTTGACGGATGAATATGCGCAATCCTCCCTATTGCAAAGCCTCGTTTCCGTGGTACCCATTCTCTCGTAGCTGATTTCCAGACATATTTAGTCGGGAATTCAGCATATGTCAACTCTCTTGTCTCTGGATATTTTTTGTTTGCTATGAACCAGGCCAAAAACATGGATTGGTTGACAGTCTTTTTGTTGAGAATACTCTCAATAGGTTCATCTTCATCAAAAAACACCAGCTCCTGATCCGGAAGATGAAATCCAAGTTTCTCAACAGAAGTAGTGCGGAAATGTGTAGGAAAAGCAAGAATCCTCCAAGACGACTCGCATGCCGTAATATATCTAATTAAGAAATACGGAAACAAAAATTAGTAAAGATGAATGTATACCTTAAAATGCAAAACACAATTAAACTCTGTGTATTAATACTGTATTTATTCATTCATGAACTCTTCAATTAAATTAAAAACATAGTAAAATATATAATAAATAATAATGGTGTAAAACATTTAGTTAAGGATTATTAAATGGTCAATATTATAAGCAATTTTACTATATATTAAGGTATACATAAGCCATATTACTATCACGTAAGCCATTTTAATAAATTTATTTTCAAGCCTAAATTGGTTTTAAAAATCTGTTTATTAATTATGTTATATATTCATTTATGAAGTTATTAACTTTAAAAAAGAGTGAAATTTATATATTATAATAATGGCGCAAAAAACTAAAACGATTTTTTAAAACTAAAAATACCTGCAGTCGTAATATGTTTTAATTTCGCCAATGACGCCATCCTCATCTTCCATATCCATTGCAGCTGAAGCATAATCAGGCCCCTTATGAATATATTTGAAAAGATACTTAACAACTCATGTTTGGACGCACCACTCGACATTCATATGCGCGCGATAGCGGAGCATGAGGTCTCTGTTGTATGGTACAACATATCCATTGTCTAGTCTGATTCCATTTTTCTCAATGAACCTACCATCAATGCGACGCATGTAAGCTGGAAATCCATTTGTGTCAATCGACGTCCTCATGTTGAGAGGTTTTGGAAACATCTTAGAACATTTACCGTTAACCATACATACATTATCCTTCTTTGCTGCTCCGCAAGGACCATGCATCATACAATCCCCAACGATTTCATACAGGTCTGGATCTACTGTCTTGTCTGGTATTTTAGCAGAAATAATCTTATCTACGTCATCGGCTGTTGGAAATTTAGATCTTTTTTCCATGAAGACAAGAATATGAGCGTGTGACATTCCTCTTTTCTGAAACTCAATCGTGTACATTACTAACAAAAGTTTCAGACAATTTTTAATCAACAAATATACTATATAAAGTATCTGTTTGAAAAAAACAATTAATATATTTATACGGATAACATATGTAAGGAGATTTACCTGAAAAAATATCTGACAAAACAATTAATATATTTATACGGATAACATATATATGGATAACATATTAATGTTCTTGATCGCTCACTTATTTTTGATGACATAATAAATGGTCAAGCACCGATAACGAATTTCTCGGTCAACGGAAAAGAGTATCATTTGACTTACTATCTCACCGATGGTATTTATCCGCAATGGGAACTTTTATCCAATCTATTTCACTTCCGAAAGAGCCGAAAGCAGCTTTATTTGCTCAACATCAAGAAGCTGCCCGCAAAGATGTCGAACGTGCTTTCAGAGTCTTGCAAGCACGATTTGCCATTATTAAAAATACAGCACTTTCTTGGGATAAAGTCAAGGTTGGGAAGATTATGAGAGCATGTATCATACTTCATAATATGATAGTAGAAGATGAACGAGATGGATACACTCAATTTGATGTTTCGGGTTTTCAACACGGAGAAGACAACGGAAGTTCACATGTCGATCTCAGCTATTCTACAGATATCCTTACAAATGTCGCCAACCATATGGATGGTCGATAAAGAATTCGTGATAAAAAAACGCATCAACAACTGAAACAGGATTTTGTTGAACATTTATGGCATAAATTTGAACATTCTCAAGACAACAACTGAGTTCGATGCCTCTTTCAAATTATTATCGTTTATGTTTTTATGTTTCTATTTTAAAATCTATGCTTAATATGTTATGTTTGATCTTGTTTTATTAAATAAATAAAGTTTATCTTCTTATAAAAAAATATTTTTTAAAAATATTATTTTTTATTCTTAACAACTTTCATTAACGGACTTGCAATAAACCACTACAATTAAGTATCCCTTAACAAATTTCTTATCTTAGTTTTAATAGTTAACAAATCACAAAGGCCCACTTAAGGAACCCTTAATGGTTTTTGCAATAAACATGGTCTTTTGGGGTATTTAAGAGAAACCCTCCTAGTACAGAGTCGAGCAGGACTTGTGTCTGTGTCTGTTTAGGTATGTTTAGAGAACCGGTGTGGTGGGGGGAGGAAGCGGCGAAGGCTGCTAAAATAGCTGTGTGGTGGGATATGAAGGACTGTCCGATTCCGGAGGGTTACGATGCTGGTCGGATCCGAGCGAGTTTAGAAGCGGCGTTCAAGGAACGAGGCTACTCTGGTGCAGTCTCCTCCATCACTGCCTATGGGGACCAAACACAAACCCCTGTTCACATCCTTCAAGGGCTCTTATCCACTGGAGTATCTGTAGCACACATCAGATCAGAAAGCACAAACTACATCATGTACCGGGATATAGTGGAATGGCGAGGTCAGAATCCTCCCCCTGCTACAATGATGATCATATCCGATCAGGTGATGGGAGGTGACTTCTCTTGGGACCTGGCCCGGCTACAACAGCGATCGCAGTACAACCTGTTTATAGCTCGTTCGAAGGCGCATCGCTTTCTCTCAGTCCTGCCAACTTCTGCAATATGGTTATGGGAAAAAATACTAGAGGATAGTAATAATAATGGAATTGAGATCATAAGCTCACCACTTGCCATGGTGCTTTGTTGCAAATCGTGCAATTTCGACTGCCAAAGCCCTAAGAAATTCAGGAAGCATCTCTCGAGTTATAAGCATGCACGGCAAGTAAGCATCCCCTCTCTCTCTATATATATATAAATATAAATATTTTGTATCGATAATAACATTGTTTCACTTTTGTCAAGCAGGAGTCTGTATGCCCTCAGCGCACACAAATTAACCTTGTTACGGAGACGTGGGGAAGGAACTACGCGGCAACGCCTGAATATGCGACAGCTAAAATACTGGTGTGGTGGAACATGTTTGACTGTCCTATCCCCGAGGGATATGATGCTCATCGGGTCCGTCCGAGTTTAGAAGAGGCATTTAAGAAACTAGGCTACTCTGGTCCTGTCTCCATCACTGCCTATGGCGACTTAAACCACACCCCTGAGCACCTCCTGCGAGGGCTCTCTTCCTCTGGAGTCGGTCTTGCACATACCATTTTCGATGTCACGTACAACCGCATGTATAAAGATTTGCTGTATGGGCCAGCGTCTAATTCTACTCCGACTAATCTTATGGTGATAGCTAATGCAGATACACTTCAGGCCTTCTCAACTTCCCTTGTCCGCCAACTGCAAGCGCAGAAACACAACCTTTTTCTGGCTTATTCATCTAGGCCTTACAAAATGTTTGTCATGCTCCCTTCTGCCGAGTGGCTCTGGCATAGCTTACTTGATGGTGATTACAGTCTTGTCCTTCCCTATCTTTTCATCATCCAGTAGTAGTAAGTACTGTTTGATAACTAATTATATGCCGTCTCTGAGCTATAGTTTGTTTTTTTCTTCTTTTCCACAGTTTCAGAGAAAACAAAATACGTTCTTCAGAAATGCACAAGTGAAAGTGATAGGGGTGGTGAATCTAGTGCAATGTTTTATTGCAAATTGTGCCGTGATGGCCCAGGCCCTGATTACAGAAGCCTTGACAATTTAAGGACGCATCTCTCAAGTGAAGAACATGCGCAAAAAGTAAGTATCCTCTTTCGCTCTCGCTCACTCAAAACAACCTCCTTTTTAACCTTTTTCTTCCACTCTCAGGAGTCCGGTATTACTGCATTTTTCCAATTAAAAATGAAGAATAGGAATAAATCTTCTTTAGCCCAGTACGATCGAAAGCATCGACAGCAATGGCGACAGGCAAGTTTTTTCTTCATTTAATGATCATTAACAGAGAAAAATATATACATGCGATTTCTCATATTATATTATTTTATAAACCAATATAACTCATGGTTGTTTGACTTTAAAAGACAAACTGACATGTTGTAGGTGAAAAAAACTCCAAACATCAAACTTATGAGGAAAGCATTCCCGACGGGTTCTCTTCTTCTTGATAATCATTTACGTCGCCTTAGAGCTCGAAAATCTCAATCCTGCAGACGTCGTTGATGTTGAAATAAACATTATCTCACTCCATGCAATCATAGACATTTCAAATTTTGAACAATATATACTATACTATTTTAATTTTATTGCTACTATTCTATTTGTATTTTGATTTTTGAGTTTAGGGTTAATATTTTTTTATAGAATTTACTGATTATGTACTATATTGTTAAATTGTCCGCCATAAAAATTATATTTATGCTATTTGTTAATGTTAGACATATATAGTATAATATATTTAAATCATTTTATAATTTTATTATTATGAACTATACCATTTAGCATATTCTATTCTATTTTATTTACTATATTTATTTTATTTCGTAACATTATTTCTTCCTCCAAAATTATTGCAGTCATAGCATGACCACCATAGCATGCATAGTAATCTTTGTATGAAAATAGTCGTAAATGTTAAGCATGTAAACACATTAAAATTTATAATATAAGTTGATATTTGAAAGTATTTGATATTTCTGTTGTATATACTATTGTATTTAGTTTATTCCATACTATTTAGTTTGCTCTGATATATTTATTTTGTTACATATACTATTGTATTTAGTTTATTCCATACTATTTAGTTTGCTCTGATATATTTATTTTGTTGTCCACGTGATGATTAATACCGTCATACATTATTATGTTGATGTTTCTTCTTTTGTGTAACTGGCAACCAACATAAAAAATGGATAAAATTGGGACAAAATTGAACAAATGCTATGACATCTAATTATGTCAAAACAATACTATATTCTTAATTTTATCTCAAAATGTGGTTATTTCACAAATTAACCCTTAAAAAGGTGAGAGAAAAGGAGAATAATAAAGGGTACACTCTCCTAAATTAGATACACGCTACAATATCTACGCTCTCTTGAGGTTGCCCTTGCCACTTTTGTGTTTTGTCTCAACACAACAAAAGAAAAAAAAACAAGGGAACTTTTCAATTTGTTCTATCGCCGAGAGAGAAAGGAACGAAAATGCAGCAGCAAGTAACGAAAATCAAAAAGTTTTGAGTGAAATTTTTGCGATACTCAAAATATTTCTGGTCTATGACTAATGAATGAATGATAATGTTTGCAGGGGAAGAGTAGTGGATCTGAGATGGAGGTGACTTGGGAAGATCAGCAGAACATCAATACCTTCAGCCGTTTCAACAACCGACTCCATGAACTCGTAGACGAAATCAAATTCGCCAAGGTACTTCCCTCCCTCCCTCCAAATCTTTTTAGATTTTGGGTTCCTGCTTCGATTCTAGGGTTTTATGATTATAGATTAGGTCAAAAGTTCATCGTTAATTAGGATTCAAACCGGTGAAAATATTATAGGCATCGATTTTTGGTTAGTCAGATGCCCAATTTCGTTTTACTGGTTAATGTGCTCTCTCACCTAACTGATGAAACTGTATGTACATCTTACAATCAGTTACAAAGTAGTATTTAGTTAATTGTAATTGTCTTTACAGCTCAAGAAAACAATCGTTACTTATGGTAATAATACTGATTGTAACACTGGAAACTCTTGTAGTTAAGATTCAGTGTCTGAAGTTGTTTTCTTCTTTCTTACCCTGTCTCTTTGGGGTTCATGATTTCCTCCTTCCTAAATTTCGTTTTCACTGCTTAGTTTGCTCTGATTTAACTGATGAACTGTAAGCACATCCTTACAATCCAGTTACAAAGTAATATTAGCTTTATCTTGACAGACAGCTCAGAAACAATCGCTACATTGAACCCCTTGTAGTTAAGATTCAGTGTCTGAAATTACTTACTTTCTTCTTTCTTCCCTGTCTTTTGGGTACTTGATTTCCTCCTTCCTAAATTTTATGACATGCGCAGGAAAAGTGTGATAATCTAGAGGATGCAGGGAATGAGTTGATCCTTGCTGATGAGGAGATGGTACGGTTTCAGATAGGAGAAGTCTTTGCTCATGTGCCCAAGGATGAGGTGGAAACAAGGATTGAAGAGATGAAAGAGGCAACCATTAAATCCCTTGAAAAGCTCGAGCAAGAGAAAGAATCACTCGTCTTACAAATGGCTGAGCTTAAGAAGGTATTGTATGCTAAGTTCAAGGATTCTATCAACCTTGAAGAAGATTGAAGAATCTTTCATTACTTCCAATACCAACTTTGTGTTTCTTTCTCCCACACTCTCTGTGTAACCGAGTGTGAAACATATTTGGTTCTTTTGTAGAATGATATACATTTTCATTTACTTTTTTGTTTGATCAAACATTTTCATTTACTTAAAAATTATTAATCAGTAGAGGGTTATTGGAATTTCATTTACTTAACAGGACTTGTAATCGAGAATTTGCAATTTAATATTTACCAATACAGCCAATTTCAAATTCTTTAATACCAAAAATTTCCCAGAAGTCTTGCACAAGTTCAAACGATATATTTTTTTTTTTTTGAAACCCTTTTTTTTTTTTGAAACCCAGTTCAAACGATATATAAAACACACAAATACAATACAAAGGAATCTTGGGGGACTTCAAAAATAAAACAAGCCTCAACTTAACGCAAACCACAAGAAATGTTACTAAACCGGTAACTCAAATTGGGGTATAACTTCCCGGTCCCCGGTTTACTGAACCGGCGGACACGAGTCCACCCTGGCGAGCAGATTCTTCATCAAGAAACAAATCATCGGTACTACGAACAGCGCCGTGAGCTCCGACGATGAGCAAACCAACGATGAGCGAAACCAAAACGTTCTCGCCTACATCCGTATAAGCCAACGCCAAAACCGTCACCACGCTAAGCACTCCCAGCACGATCCGATCATCGACTTCTCTCCCCGAAACCACAATCGGATCGTTCCCGTCGCGGGAGAAGTAGAGGAGGATCCACCCGATGAAGACGACGATGAACGCCACCATAGAGATCGGATGGTAAACGAGGCCGAGGAAAACGATCCCGAGGACGGCGAGAGAGTAGTTCGCACGGAAGTAAGAGAGGTTGTGCCTCAGCTTCGCCATGGCTTCGTCGTATGAGTGAGGGAGAGAGAGCGCGGATAGATCCAGAAGCATTCGCCATGGACGGAGCGTGGCGATCATCGATTGCGTCGTTTGCTTGGCGCGTGAAGTCAACGTCCCGATGGTTGTGTTGGACGAGGAGGAGGAGGATGAAGGTCCTCCGCCGTAACCGTACGGCGGAGGAGGAGGTTTCTGATTCATTGGAGGAGGATTCACAGATCTGTTTTAAATGAAAACGGACTTTGCTATTTAAAGTTATTAAATTTTCTTTTAGGACCTTGTAAGTTTAATTAATTACAAAAATAGCATAAACAAATCAAGTTATAACATTTTATCATCTTTTTGATTTGGTTTCGATTGGTTTGGGTCTAGGAGAAGAGACTGAGCCACCACCATTACCACCACCAAGTGCTGCAGCTGCTGACTCCACATGTGTGAGAAGATACTCGTATATCTTTTTACGTAACCGGTCTATTGTTTCCTTTGAGACTTCTTGTAATCCTTCTTCATCTTCTTTTGAACCAATCTCGTCTAACCAATCATTCACACTCTTCAGCTGAGACAGCATCCCAGCTATCTGTCCGTTATCAGACAGGTTCGAAGGTGTCTCCAAAACGTCTGCGTCCAAGAATCTCTCCACGAAACTCAAAAACCAATCTTGAGATACCGTTTGCAGCTTCTCTGCTAGATCAGTTGCCTCGTTTAGACCATTCCCTTTCACCCAGTTTAGCGGTGGAGACTCTGATCCTGCTGCTGCTACCGTGTTGGCCTTTTGGCTGCTACTGTTCTCCCTGTGTTTACGTATCATGCCTTGTGCCACAAGTTTGGAACCAATCGTTGGCCGGGTTTGGACGTTTCCACGGGGTTTAGTGGTGGAGTTATTGCTCGGGGTCTCGAGTATGATCATTGGTTTGCTCTTGGATGCAGTAGATTTGGCTGGTTTGTTGGTGTAGACAGAGAAGGGTGATAAGTTAGTGACTAAAGCAGCTTGGACCCAAGAGGCTGCTAGTTTCTGCTTTTCTGCAGCCACTTTTACAGCTTCTTCAGATTTGTTTTCTTCATTTTCTGGGGAAGATGTGGAAGTAATTAATCTAGACAATGACTCGGTTGTTATTTGAACGTTTTTCAGACCGGAATGGAGCTTCAAGAACTGCTCAACTACTGGCAATGGATCATCTTCCTTAGCCGTTGACATAAGATCGTTATACATGCTACAAAATGCAGAAGCAGAACACTGTTAGGAGACAATTACGGAATTAATGAATAGGTTTTGATAGAGATTACTCACATGAGGCATTGAAGTAGGCTCTCGGAAGCAGAGGCTTCTTGCATGGCCTCTATTGCAACAACTTGAGCCGCATCTCTATGCCTCAAGACTTCCTGCACATATTGGTCTCAGCAATGAGGCAATAAGCTTATCGTATAGTATAATTACGATGCCAAAGACTTAAACACATAAGATGCATAAACTATACTTAATGGTTTTGATCGATCACTGGAATAACAGCTACGAAATATTTAGATCCTCCACAATTAATGAATGCATAATCACTAGGAATGCTCATACCTGTCCTAGCCTTGACAAAGATGAAGGGAGTGAACCCCATTGGACAGTGGCAGATGCTAATCTTTTACTATTAACAGGGACCTTGACCAAATTCCCAGGCAATCCATTCTCTGCAGTAGATTTCTTGACTACGGATGTAGATTTAGGCTTACTCGTTTTATCTCTGTTGTCAACTATTCCTGCTGTCTCGACTTTCTTGGTTGACTGGGTCTTACTTTGCTCCTTCGATGATTTTGCAAATACATTAGCCCTCTCCTGTTTGCTTGGCAACTTCTCACTAGATGTGCTTTTCCTCGGAGCCTAGAAACCAAGATGACACAAGCTATATTCAGAAAACTGAAAACGAAGAAAACTAATAACATGAGACTGATAGAATAAAAAAAGCAAACTATGATACAAACTCGGACTACGGCTAAATAGGAGTAAGAACTAGTTTAAAAATGATCACAGAGAACTGGTCAAAGAAAATTTCAGTTTCAGATCGACCAAATGCAACTTTACATTTATAAAGTACAGTATATACTATTTTGCAATATAAACGCCTGGAAAGCTATAAGAAGAAAGAAGCTTACTGCTAAACTCCGAGAATCAGGGGTTGAATCACGTTTAGCAAGCTTCAACCTCGAACTATCAGAACCCCTAATATCCAAATTCCCTTCCCAGCTTTTCCTCAACGCCTTAGCACCAAACTCAATCCCCTGAACGAAACTCTTAATCATTGGCATCTTCTTGCCAACACTCGGACTCTCCACTCTAAGCGGAGACCTCCCTCTCTCCGTCAACCCCACCCTAGGAGACCCTCTCTCCAACACCACCTTCGGCTTCACCTCCTGCTGCTGCTTAACCCCATTCGCAAACTTCGCAAAAGAAGTCGGCAGCGAGTAACAGCTCGTCGGTGAAGAAGGTATCGACTTCGAACCACCGGAAGTAGAAGAAGCACTAATCTTAACCTTCCCCAAAACCTCCTTCTTCACATCCAAAACCAAATTAGTCTTACCAGACTTCACTCTAACCAAACCAGACGCCTTCTTAGAAGACTCATCCTTACTCACTCTATTCCCTAACCTCTCATCCTTAACTCTCTCTTTAATAAAAGGCTTTGAACCATTGCAACTATCCTTAACAACCTTATCATCATTCCTAAGAAACCCTAACGCATCAGCAGCTACAATATCCTCAGGTGTGCCGAGGCAAGGATGCCTACCGGGAACAGGCCTAACGCCACGTAGGATCGGGACGGGGGAAGAGGATTCGACTCTGTCCACGTGGATGAACTGACCTAATTGGAGCGTATCGCTCAGAATCAAATCGTCGTGCTCGTCGGGGAGAGAGACGTAAGTGGCGTGAGAGGAATCGGAGACTTTGAGGTAGAAGCCTTGGTTCGGGAACAGCTCGCCGCCGGCGAGAGCGGGGACGATGCTGATTACTTGGAGGAGGGAGGACCTGTGTTCTCCGGCGATTTTGACGTCGGTGTTCATGTGTTGGAGGAGTTTGAGGAGGACGCCGGGGACTAGATTCGCCATCGCCGACGGATCTAGGTCAGATCTCGGGGTAACTTACAATGGAGAGTTCCCAGGTGATTGCAAATTTAGAGAGACAAAAGTAATTAATAGTATGGCCTCTGGTGAAGATACAACAAAGCTGAAGAAAGAGAAATTGTTAAAAATTTAATTAAAGATATGAGTGAGAGAGAGAGAGAGAGAGTACAGGTAGGTTTTGAGAAGCAGGAGGAATGTGAAAATAATGGTGATACTGTTGTCTTGTTGTTGGTGTACCCATGATGCTCACATTTGGTTTTTAATAAAAAGAATGAGAAAGAGTAATTAAAGAAGCAAGTAAAGAGTCAGACTCAGATTCAGGAGATATATAGGGGAAAAAGATGGATAGGTGAGATTCATTTGTTGCCTTCTGCGGATACATGTTTATATTTTTTTAAATATGTTGGTTTCGCAAAATTAGATCTTTTATGTTTTGTATACAGAGATTATAATTTTAGAAAGATTAATTTAATTACTATTGACTAGAAATTATGGAAAATTTATAATTGTAAAATAATGCATTTATAACGGTAATTTGATGTAATTTCTTAATATGTGTGAATACTATAAAAAAAATCAATATCTAGTAGTAGTATTTAAATCTCTTTGACGTCAACAAAAACTTTTACCATAAATTTGTAGTGTTTCTAACGTAAATTTATTCGTTATTACATATTTCCCCAAGTTTATGGAATTCATGATCATAAATGTATGTATCATGTTTCAATCATTGCTCTCTAATGATAAACACGGTAATAAATAAATTAAGCGTAGTAAATGTTAAAAGATCCAATAATTAAAGTAGTTAGGTGGAAATCTACAGGTTAACATCAGTTTATATAAATGTATTTCGATCAAAATAAATTCAGCATAGTAAATGTTAAAAATCCAATAATTGAAGTAGTTAAGTGGAAATATCTGCAGGTTAACACCAGTTTATATAAACGTATTTCTTTAAGAATCACAATTGCATAAATAATTAAACACCAGTAAACTATGACAAAAGGTCAACTAATATTGCAGCAGATGGGCTAACATTTGTAGTGGTAACGAACATCTGTGTCAAGAGTTAATAACAACAAAAGTTAAAAGTTTGAAACCATTCTGATGTAAGTAATAGATGTCAAGCTGCAATTGTTACGCTCATACATGAGAGATTAACTGAAAGTGGAGATGATGATGATGATGATCCTATACTGCTCATAGAGCGTTATCATAACAAAGATGATGACACCATTACAACGAGAATCATCACCGCTATGCTGAGGTTAACCACTGTATCCACATTTTCAATCTTCTTCAGTTTCTCGTGGAGGTCTGCCCGCATTTGTGAGTATGGGCATTTTTGCTTCTGCAAGAACAAACATAACATTTGGAACTCAATTCCGATACTTGAATCCAGTAAAAGAGGATGAACACAAGCCAGTAAGCGAATATGTCAGTCATGCTCAACAGCCTAACCTAGTTCAAACTCATGATATGGTTATAAGATTTCCTTTATGTAATAAACTAGTCTACATTTTGGATCTTTTTTCACAGCTCTACTTGTGATGGATAAAATCAGGGAAGGTAGTATAGACAATAACCTCAGTTTTCAACTCATCGTTTTGGTTGTTTCCATTCTGAAGATCTTCTTTAACATCTTGGTCAGAAAGCTGATCGAATGGCATATCGGATTTGATCTTGCTATTGGAGATTTTACTTGAGAAGGCATGGTAAGCTGAATCAGTATGAATCGTCTCCATAACTGAACCGAAGAAATTTGTGACCGGTACCTAAATCCCATAATAATGGAACTTGAAGAGTGAGTAAATTAATCATCTCATGACCAATATAGTTCCTTAAAAACAGAAAGGAAAAGATATCCCAAAGGTGCATGTTCTTCATCTAAATCAATGTCGTTTCCCTGACATGTAATGGTGAACTTATAGAGAAACCTACACTGTTCAGGCCCTATAGAACACATACCTAAACTGGGTTTATTTAGTCTTGATTGGTCACTCACAACAGAATAGTAATTTAAGCTAACATAAAAACTAAAACGCGAGACTGTGCAATCAATTTCCTGCTTACCTTCGTCAGCTGTGGCTGGTAAAGATCAGTCCGGTAGTAGGCAGTAGACATTAGCTGTCTCGGATCATACGACCTAAACAAACTGCACAACAGAAGGTGAACGGATGTTTATAGCTAAGAGAGTGCAGCTTAAAAAGACGAACCAGTTTTTAAATGTCAGAGGTAAAACATACAGAGACACATTCTAGTTAAAAGATCACAACTCAGGCACAAGAAAATGTTAGCAGAATGTTATCGTACCTGTTAAGTGATGCATTGTCATAGATATTGAGCCTCTCAAAGAACGCAAGTGTGTAATATGTAAACCGGTCTACAACAGATACACCAATCTGAAGCAACCATAAATAAATTAGAATTAGGACCAAATACAATGATAACAAGAAGAAACATATTTTCCATGCATGAGATAGTGAAGGGTACTTACATCTGAGTCAAGGTGATGAGAATATGAGTTCTCTCCTTTAAGACTGCTACCAATAGCCAAAACACCAGGAGATTGAAGCTACGAAAACAGTTGTTTAATAACGTAAGAGAAAAATCCAAATGATGGATTAGATGTCAACTTTCGTACATTGCTAAACATAAAACCTCCCAGAATAAGCCGTAAAGATACGAATAGATATCACAATCTTAACTCCAAAGGCAGCGCAAAACAATATATTTGGTTTACGAGAACGTTTTTCTGAAATATAAAGACGAAGCTAACTCTAAAAAAGACACTGAGAAGTACCTGGTTAAAGAGGGTGGCAGCTTGGCAAGTATCAACCATTATCAAAAGCTCCTTGAATCTAAACTAGCCGAATAACGTCATTAGATTTCTCACAACATAAGTAAGATGAGGCAACAAATGACTAATGTTTGTTCCACAAGAGATGGCACATGGAAAAACTATAGGCAGGAAAAGCCAACATTAAAGACACAGACCGAATGTAATGCAAAAGAGCTAACCATGGATAAAAGTGAAAACATACCTACGCTTCTCTTTCATTTGTTTGACAGCATCAGCTAAATCGTGACTCTGGAGTTCTTCAGAATCTTGAAACTTGAGAAACTCATCACCACCATGTCCAGTCATATACAGTAAAATATGGCTACCCTCATCACTGAGCAGACGCTTTGACCTAGGCACAGCATTCTCATGACGCCCAGTCAAAACCCGCATGAAATTCTCAACCGTCACCTCATAGCCACGATAATCTACCTGATTGCAAAAAAAAACGATGATAAAATCATATACAATAATAATAATAATAAGCTCCACCTTCTGGAAAAAACATAGTAAAAAAAGGAATCACAACAGTTTCAGTGATTACAAACATAAAGTGTACCTCAACGTTATCACCGTAGAGGTTGATTTGGTGATTCTCATTGTTGAAAACTTGAGCAGGATACTCGTTTCTAGAATTACAGGCCATGTCATCAGCGAGCATAAGGATGATCCGTTCATCAGGTATTCCAAGTCTCTTGACTGTCCTATAGAGAGAGAGTGTATTGGCCATGTGACGGTAGTTAAACCTGAGAAAACAGCAAACACAGAAAATAGATCAAAGTTAGTATGGTGAGAATAATGTGAACTCCAAAATCTAACGTCGCTTTGATTGTGAGATTTGACCAGAATCGAGAAGTGCAGACCAAGACAGCCCAATTGTTCGTGTGGATCGTTGTATCTCCGGAAGAGGAGGCGAACGAGTAGCAGAGAAGCGTTACTATGACGAGTATGAGATTCTTCATTTTTTTTTGGGAAGAAGAAGATCTGGAAAAGGGGATTGGGAATCGGCAATGAGTTTTGAGTGGGAAACGGAGAGTGGTAGGTGTTTAAACGGAGATCTATTGAACAGCTCCAGAAAGAGAGAACTCGGCGGCGGCGATTAAAACCACGATTGACAATTTTAGTTTGCCGGCGGTGGTGACAGGGAGGCGTTGAAGTTAACGGGAAACAAGACGATGCGGAAACTAAAAAAAATTGTGTATTTTTTATATGAAAAGTTTTTTTGACTAAAAATAATATAAAACTTACTGTTAAAAATTTCGTAATTATTCGACATTGTTACTTGATATGAATTTATCAAAGAGTTTAATTAACACTGAACTTTATAATTTTCAAGTTAAACTTCATATACTTTTTTTTTTCCTTTAGAGCACAAAATTTCTAAATTTTAAGTTTGTTAAAATCTCTATAATATTATTTGAGAAGTCAATTTCCTACGTGTCGCGCTCATGTTAACTCTCACGATGGTTGATTACATAGATACCCTTAATGAAATAAAAATATTAAATGTTAATAATGTATTTCCTTTTTCATAATAAGATTTTACTTAATTTTTGTAATTTAAGTTTACTTTTTTAAAGCACATAAATAAAAAAGGAAATGTTTATGAAATATAAATATTTATATATAAACGAAATTTGATAATATTTTTGAAATTTTCCTAAAATAACATAATTAGTGTTTATTTAAGAGATATTAAAAATGAAATTAAAACTTTTTGTTACAAAAATAAATAATTTGATCAAATAATTTCAAAATTCTTTTAAATAGCGTAGCACTATACACTATTAATGAAATATAAATATTATATTTTATCATTTTTAAAAATTCTTTTTAATATTTAGTTTTCTTTTTGATTTTATATTTTGTATGTTTGTGGAACTTAATATATAAATAATCAAAATACTCAAGTAAATCTAAGTTCTCATTTTTAAGATTGTTTAAAATACATTTCAGTTTACCTTTTAAGAAATCTAAGACATAAAATAATTTAGAATTTATAAATATTTAATTATTGTAAATATTAATATGTGCTCATGAAATTTTAAAATTTTACCTTTATACACATATTTATGTATGTAAATTCCCATTGATCGTCACTTTATTTTTTAATATTTCTTAAAAATCAACATATATCCAATTATTAAAAATATTATAAAAATACTTGTAAGCGATAAATAAAACAAATTTGATTTGATTTAATTAGAATAGAAAAGAATTATATTTTCATTTGAATTAGAAAAAATATATAACTCAATATACTCACAAAACGAGTAACGGAACACATCTAACTTATACCCAAAATAAAAGATCTAACTACAACAAGAACATAGAATTTTAGAATAATTATTTATTTATTTTTATACATATAAATTACATGATGACTCAAATATACCAATATAGAAAAAAGATTATTAACCAACTGTTATAATTTAGTTTTTTTTGTAAAATTTATATATATGAATGATACTTCAGAATATTATTGTTATATTCATTTATGTAATTTTGAGTCAAAATTTCAGTTTATTTTTAATTTCATTATAAGCATAATATATATTAAGTTATACATAATCTTACTAAAATATATTCACATATTTAAGACAATAACTAATCTAAATGCAACAATAATCAAAGTTTTAGTATATTTAGAAGAAAAATATTATAGGTGAATTCAAAAAAAATAAATGCAATCTAAAAACACAAGTATAACCAAATCGACTATTGACTAAAAAAAACAACCAAACCGATTAAATATATTATCTCCCAAATCATATGTCTAATTAAAATAATATAATATTATTAATATAAGTTATACATATAAATTATAAATTAATTTATAATTAAAAGTAAACATCTATCTAAATTAATAAATTAGAATATATTACAATATCTTTACTTCATAAATATTCATACCCGTGCTCATGCACGGGAAAATCACCTAGTTAGAAATAAATACTTTTAAATTCATTTATTTGATATGAAATTGAATTGTACTGCAGTGGCTAGTGACCACAAAGATGGAGGAATTATTCACCTAAACATGGAATTAGAGTATTTGTGTGTTATATTTTTGAAGTGTTACTTTTTCTATCATGAAAATGGTTATAGAACGCTGTTTCAAAATGAACATTCGATTATAAAGAACCGAACATTAAACACAAGTGTCACATAACGAGTGCGGCTGTAATCTTGAACAAAAATATATAATCTCCTTAGGAATTTCAAGGGCATAATAAAATTAGTGTTAACTTGAATCACAAGCGATCTACTTTGGTATATGAGGAAGACACAAGAGCTAACTTTGGTTCTCGTTGGTGTGTAAAGGTAGAGACAGAGAGATGAGGATCATTCACTCAGTGACGGGCAATAAAAAGCTTAATCCAGAATTCTCCCGGATTAAAGGTGGAGGTTCGATATCAGCAATGTCAAATCTCTCCATCGACTTTGATAAATCATCAACCGAGAAAGGAATGCTGCAAGAAAATCAAATTTAAAACAAGTTACAAAATCATCATCGAAAGCGAAACATTGTTGGCGTTATGTAAAAACAAGTAGGAACCTTGAGGCATCATCCAAAAGGAAAGAGTTGCTAACAGCATTGTTGGAGTCTTCTGTCATTAGCACCCTCATATTCGCTATAACCTTTTCATATACATAGAGAAAAGAGATGTGCATTATATAAGTTTATTATAATCACACATATCATCAGTTTCTTTAAGGTGTGACTTACGTCCGGAGAAACACTATGTATTTGTCGTCCCAGTACATCGTACTGATCCTGTATAGCTGTTGTATACTCAGTACCTGCCCCACATTTTTTCATTTTATCAGGAAATGAAAACTACATATTCAAGTGTCTCAAAGGGAGAATATAAGTGTTAGAACGAGGATTAGATCAATTTACCGGGAAAAGATCATGACTGATATCATCGAGTGTTTTCTTTGGTTTTTGGTGTATGACCTGCATATTTGGAACAAGAATTAACAATGGTTTACCCTCATAGGGACTATCCTTAAGGTTTTAGATGCTAAAGAGTTCCCTGGATAAAAGCCTGTTAAACAGTTGAACATTGACGAATGAGAATATCTGTGTAAACACCTTACGCACCAAAAATGAAGGAACCTAAAACATCATAAAATAGAAAGATTCAAACTCAGAACTTGTATTTTTCTATTTATAGGAAACGGTGTACAGCAAAATAAGCTCACATTGTTTAATTTCAGAGTATTGAGGAAGTTTGTAAGGCTCTTCACAATTCCTTGCCAATGGGCGATCAGTGCTTCCTGAGCTGGCGTGTTGGCAACAGAACGAGATGCTCCTTTCACTAAACTCGCCCTAGATGTTCTTGGTGCCTATTTGAAGGTGAAGACAGACCAATAAAAACCAGCGAGTGGTTGTGAATTTGGTGGCTGATGTGATTGAAGGGAGTTACCTGAATGCACAATCCAATGAGTGGAGAAATATCCTTCTTCAAGTTGTCCCGAATCATTCCGTATATCTTTTCAACATAAGCTGTGAGCTGCTGCTTAAACAGTAGAGCAGGGTACTTTGCTTCAACTTGTCTTAAGGTATCTGCTCCACCTCCCGCAGCACCGTTTATCATGGCAAGATTCACAACTTGAGGAACTCCACGGAAGCTCTGATCAATAGAAACAAAGTTGCAATGAACACAAGAAGCTTTTGCTACATTGTGCTGGTGGATTTCAAACGATATATACCTGAGTCATCCTTCCAAATGAAGTGGCAGAAGATGAACAGTGCCGCTGTGGAGCCATCCCAGCTGCACCACTGGCTTTGAGTGTGCGTTGGAGAAGTAAGAGGAGCGTCGACGCATTAGATAACCTATTCGCCAATGTATTGTTGTTATCTTGAGTCTGAGATATCAATTTTCCCAAACATTAGTTATTATTCCAAAAACACTTGCAAGCATTAGGACTTAGTTCTCCTAATGGTGCTCCTTTGTATTGTTGCATCATATGAGCATCATAGATGTGAGGCAATCGTTGAAATGGAATAATCGTCAATGAACAAATAGATTCCTAGTCAAGACAGTAACATAGTCAAAAAATAAGAGAGAGAGTGACATTGCTGTTCGTCAGAGGAATCCTTCTACTTCGGTGGGATTCTTCATTCATCCCCATGGAATTCGCGCCAGTTTGTGGTCCCTAATCACTCACTGTCCCTTGATCACCACCTATACTCTCTCCTTCAACAGTTTTTATTCACACTCGCAAGTCGCAACCCTCTTAATGTCTTGAGATATCATTTTTCCTCCCAAAACCACTAAAGATGATGTAAGTTCTGTTGAATTATACCATCAAATCGGATTGTATCATTCGAGTGATTATTGCAGTACTAGATCAACCAAAGTACTAATCTTTCGTTTTCAACAAATGCATTTTATTCATGATATAGTGTTGGATAAACCAAAGATACAGACTCGACCACAATCACTTCTGTAACAAGATTTCAATGTTCTTGCTAAATAATCTAATTGGAAAAGAAACAACAAACAGTAATAATACAACAACAACTCACAGCGTTCTCTATCTGTCTCTCTGTGGAATGGTTCAGCCAACCATCATTCTAATTCTGAGTGTAACAGCTTCTTCTTGTTACTGGGTCTTGATGGGTTCTTAGCCGGAACTGCTCTTTCCGAATCCAGGAAAGAGTTCATAAGTATATTAAAAACTCACATAGCACATAACACGACTAAGATACTAAGATCACAAAAGATTCACAAGTAAAATCTATAAGCTCAAACATTCAGCATCATACATTCGTTTAAACTACCCATTTAGGTTGCAGCAATACTGATCTATGTCGAGAATTGTATAGTTCAGACAGTCCTACATGAAGAAAAATGAGACATGTTTCACAAAACTTACAGTTAATGCTCGTTTTCAACTTCTTCCTCTTGCCACTACTCACTTGGTCTCCACTACGTATCAACTTATAATCTCGTAAAGGATGATACTTCATCGATTCCAGCTCTTTCCTAGCCATGTCAAATCGTTGTTTCACCTCCCTCTGCAATTTACAGAGAAAGCATTCTAAGAGACGGTTAAATAGCCAGCGAGAGAAACACGCCAATGGATACTCACACGTGCCCTATTCACACCGGTGATTTGCTGTTTGCATAACTTAATCTCCATCTCAAGCGCACGCAACCGTCCCTCGACAGGAACAGCGTTTTGCTCAACCATTTGTTTTTGTCTGCCACGAACAACCTCTGGCTGCCAAACGTTCAACGCTACTGATGCTTGCCTGAGAGAGAGCCAATAACCATAGAACCACTTTGATCAACAAAGAAATCATCTTTTTCAAACTGTAATTCATCCATTCATTCATCAAAACAAGAATAAAAGAACAAACTTTCATGAAATCTGACGATTGGATTAAGCACTACCTGACTCTCTGCAAATTCGAAAACTCCACAGAAGCATCCTGCAACCTCTCTGCTTCCTCTGATAAACGAGTCTCCAATTCACGAATCCTCCGTCCCCACTCTGAAATCTCACTCTCCTTTCTCAGTAAAGCTCTTCTATGCGAAGCTAATCTCCTCTCCTTCTCCTTCTCAAACCTATCCCATCAACAAATTAGAATACTTTTTTTCCCATGATGCTTGATTTCAAGCAGAACATACATCAATCAATACCTTGTCTTGTATATATACTTGGTAGGAGATTGAGAAGACGAAGAAGAGTCGGTGTGGGTGGGGAAATCAATGAAGAGCAGAAAGTTCCAGAGGGAATCCTCGGAGGATAAACGGCAGAGACGGCTAGAGGAGATGGAGATGCAGCAGAGGTCTTTGTAAGAGAAAGTCGATGACTTTACGCCAATCTCTAGTATCTTCCTCCATAGCTCATCAGGTATCTCCTCCGCAGACATTCTCTCTTGCTTCTCTTCTCCGCAAAATCAAACCGATTAAAAAATCTTTACTTTATTATGAGGTTGATTCGTAAAACATTTATAAATATAAGGATCTGTTTGCAATTAACCTATTTTATAAATGGATGCGCAAAACGATAAAACTCTTTGTCTTTCCTAATACACTGATAAAAACAAGGATCCATTTGATATTTACCTATTATTAAGTGGTGTTCGCAAAAACAAAACGATAAAAAATCTAGTCTTTAATTTACACGGTGGCTAATTTATATGACATTAGTAAATACAAGGATCTGTTTGCAATTTACCTGTTTTTATAAATGGTGTGTCGCAAAAAGCTTAACGGTAAAAATCTACTCTTTCCTTTATATCGTGGCTGATTTATAAAACATTGATAAATACAAGGGTCAGTTTACAATTTACCTATTTATAATTAGCTGTGATGAAAATATCCGATTAACCGTGTAAACGAGCTAGTCCGGAGAAGACTACACTCTCCTCTCCTTCTCCTCTCTCTTCTCATCGATAACGATGGAGTCAAGTAGCATCCTCGATTCCCTCGGAGTCGAGATAATCGGCGTGATGGCTCCGGTCTCCATCTGCATGTTCCTCGTCGTCCTCCTCACCTACTCCCTCTCCGTCACCTCCGACACTCAGATCCGCACCGCAGCTAACCTCATCTACATCGAGAACCCCTCCGACTCCGCCACCGTCAAGCTCGAAGGCAGCCTGGAGAACGCGATCGTCTTCGTCGTCCTCGTCGCCGCCGTCACTTTCGTCCTCGTCCTCCTCTTCTACTACAACTTCACCAATTTCCTCAAGCACTACATGCGCTTCTCCGCCTTCTTCGTCTTAGGTATTAACCACAACGCAAGAAACCCCACAACTATATATATATATGTATGTATATGTTTTTGTTACTATTAGAGTCGCACAGCAGTTGTTCTCCAATTGTTACCATTCAGAGCCTTAGTGTTTGTTAGGGTTTGTTAATTTTGCTCATTGTTGATTGTGTGATTTTGTTAATTTTTGTTACCGTTCAGAGCCTTAGTGTTTGTTAGGGTTTGTTTTATTAGAGCCGCACCGCAGTTGTTCGTCATGTTACCAATCGGAGCCTTAGTGTTTGTTAGGGTTTGTGTTTTTTGCTCAATGTTTATTGTGTGGTTTTGGTTAGGTACCATGGGAGGGGCAATTTTCCTGTCGATAATCCAGCATTTCTCGATCCCTGTTGATTCGATCACGTGCTCGATACTGCTATTCAATTTCACGATCTTGGGGACGTTGTCTGTGTTTTCTGAAGGGATGCCTATTGTGTTGAGGCAGTGTTATATGGTTGTGATGGGGATTGTTGTTGCGGCTTGGTTTACTAAGTTGCCTGAGTGGACTACTTGGTTTATTCTTGTGGCTTTAGCTTTGTATGATTTGGTTGCTGTTTTGGCTCCTGGTGGACCTCTTAAGCTCTTGGTGGAGCTTGCTTCTACTAGAGATGAGGAGCTTCCTGCAATGGTGTATGAAGCTAGGCCTACTGTTTCGAGTCACCGAGGGAGGAACGGTGGTGGTGGCTCGAGTTTGAGGGTTTTGGTTGGTGGTGGTGGTGGTGGTGGGGGTGGGGTTTCGGATTCTGGATCAGTAGAGCTGCAAGCAGTGGGGAATCATAATGCAAACCTGGATTATAACGCTGTTGCAGTGATGGACATAGACAGTGGAGATGGTAATGGGAATAGAGATGGTGTTGTGCGTTCACCTCTCACTGGAAATGCCAGGGAAAGACACTTTGCATCTCCCTTGTCATCAGAGCACTCAGCGGTAAACAGAGAAAGTGTTGCAGAGGAAGAAATGTCACCTCTGGTTGAGTTGATGGGTTGGGGAGATAATAGGGAAGAAGCAAGAGATTTGGAGGAGTCAGATAACATCGATAGAGGCATCAAACTTGGTCTTGGAGACTTTATTTTCTACAGTGTTCTTGTTGGTAGAGCAGCCATGTATGATCTGATGACAGTGTATGCTTGTTACCTTGCCATCATCTCGGGACTTGGTTGCACTCTTATTTTGTTGTCCGTCTACAACAAAGCACTTCCAGCTCTTCCCATATCCATCATGCTTGGCGTCGTCTTTTACTTCTTGACACGATTGTTGATGGAACCGTTTGTTGTGGGCATGACAACAAACTTGATGATGTTCTGAGTTACCAAAGATTCTAGTGGAGCCAAGTAAATGATATCCTGATTATGCTCTGCTTCAAGCCTCCATGTTTTGCACCTTAGTGTTCGAGTAATATTTCTATGGGAAAAAAAACTGATTATGTAACTCATATAAATGGATAGTCTCTGATGTCGTAGATGGTCGACAAAGAAGTATTAATTTTGGAAGAGAAGATTAGTTAGAATTGCTTCTTGGTTTAGTCGACTTATTCATGGCATTCAAGTCCAACTCGAAAATACACTCAAAAACTCAAACGTACATACAACTGAAGTTGGTTTCGAACTACAAAAATAAACACAATGCTCGACAAGAGTGGTTTCTTCTTTTAAAAAAAATAAAATAAAATAAATAGATGCATTAGAGATGAAGCAGATCGTGGAGTCTCTAAGCAAATGGATTTCCTCCGGTAGACGATGCAACATGGCCTTGTGCTGCTGGATTCCTACATCCATGTTAGGCAATAAGAAAAACTATAAGCTGCTGCCGCTCATAAAATCTTCACTATGCATTCAAAAATGTAACGAAAGTATCATCATCCATCACATTAGCGAACCAAACACTTGTTCGATTATTCACTCAAAGCATAGGAGTCATACAACTCTTACAGCCAATGACAACATAAAATTGAAGATAACGATGTCATTAGTGTTGATACTTACTGTAGTTGGGACGTTGATGCTTGTTCTGTCATCCATGATAAGCCACCTGCATCAGTTTCTCAAGAAATTAGATTAACACCTAAGAGCGTGAAACTTGAAAATATATGTAGTCTGCACAATCATAAATGTTTTCATTTCCCTCTCGTGGGAATATTTTCAATCCAAATTTGATGTGATAGAAGCAGTTTGCTTACAACTATACTTCCAAGGGGGTGAACATGGAGGATACTCGCTTACTAAGATTTCATGTAACATGGTGTAATGATAAAGAAATTTTCCTTTTTTTTCTTGTAGGGATCTAAACAGAGAGGAGTCTAGTTTCATAGCATGTAACTAATATTACCTTGTGCGCCTGCTGGAGCAGGTAGATACGAGGGTACAGAATCTGCAGCGAGCCATGGTTGTGATACATCATTAAAGAAGGTTGGTGGGGTCTGGATGTCGGGCAGTGCGCCTTGTAAAGAACTCATGTCCAAGAACTGGCATTAAATACAACCACAACAAAGTCGTCAATCAAGAGGATTCTAATGGCGGAGCGTGGTAGATTCATAAATAACACACGGAAATGTTGGTCATCTTTGCCTAATCTATCTTGCTTATCAAACTCTAAGCTAAGATGACCTTCAGATTAACTATCCTAAGAGGTTATTTTCTAAAAATGAAGTGAAATTCTCACATTCAAGAACATTTTTACACTACACAGATCAGGCAAATTTCAGAATCGAAAATAGAATGAGAAAATAGTTGTTGATCAGACAAGAATATGATACTTCCTCGGAAGTTATTTAACTTGAATTTCTAAGATTTAAACAACATTACACTATTACATAAGGTGTGAAATCTGACTTTCTTATAAGGCATGTGTGGACAAGGCTGTACATACCATGTCATTTGATTCATACTCGGAATCATAAGGGAGATCAAAGGGATTAGATGACTTTTGATCATTTACAGGCTGCCAAGATTCTTCCTGCGAATGAAGATTTTAAATCGATCAAAAACATAAGAACTGATAGGCAAGTTTGAAGAAGGGTGATTGATAAGCCTCTAAGAGAAATTGCAAGGAAAAAGTGGAACCATATAAGGGGAGTATGCTGGTGCCATGACAATGTTCCCTGGAAAGCCAAAACCAGAAGATCCAGCACCTGTTTGGGTACCATCATTACTTAACTCCTGTGACATGGCATCATAAGAGAAGTATTAATGGAGAGATTCATCTAAAATACACTTCCATGATAAGGGAAAATACAACAACCTCAACTTGTGGCAAATGGTGTTGATCACTGTTAGATTGCGAAATACTTGGTCCATGTTGGCGGAAATGGTTAGCGTTGTCCATAGAATTGGCCTCCACAGAGTCGGGAAAGGCATTCCAGGGCTGCTCAAAACATGTCAACTAGGAGTTAGTTCATCACATACCTTGTAGAATGCTAATCATTGACTGTAATAGAATCATGCCGTTATTTTAGACACAAGTGGTTACAGCTTTAAGTTTCTCAGATTACAGGTTGCCCAAGAATATTCATACAACATGAGGTCAGCCAATTCGCCTAGCCAAAGATGAACAAGTTAATCACAGTTTTAACGATTAAAAAAAGTATCATCCTCAATGTCTAAGATGAGATATGCCCATTTGAGACAGGGAAGCATTTTTCTTTTTAAGTGTCTCATGCTGCAACCTAACTCAAGTAACTGAAAAGGCAGAATAAAGAGTAAGACTAACCGGGTTACTTGCAGCATTATTTGGAACCTTTGAGAGATCATCTTGCCAAGGACTTGATGTCGATAAAGCATGCTGCTCCAAGATTGATGATAAAGGTGGCCATTTCATGCTTGTGCTAGGCTGCTGGATGCCTTCATTTTTCACTTCCAGCTCGGGAGCTCCAGCGGACGTAGTAATGTATGTAGATTTTGGAGCAGGTATTGGGTTCTCAAAAGAAGCCCACCCGTCGTTCTTAGACGCAGGCAAGTTAGGTGGTCCTGAAGTGGGTTTCTGACCCAAGTTTCCAGCAAACAAATCTGTAGGAGGGGCTGTGTACGTCTGTGGAGGTTGATGAAAATTCACAGGTGGAGATGGAGTTCCTACTGAAGGTTGAAATGTAGCGACTGATTGAGCCGTTGGCGCTCCTGGTAACTGAAACAAATCAATAGGAGCCTTTGTAGACTCTGTTACTAAAGGAACAGGAGTAGATGTTTTATCTTGCTGGATTCCTATATTTTGAGCATTTTCAGATACGCCTTCCCCTAAACCGCTCGAAGTATATGACTTGATAGACATGGTATTACTGTCAACTGATCTGACACTCCCAAGAGACGTAGTTCTCTGAATGGGGAAATTGCAAAGAAAGATTGAGAAGTTGGAACATCATGAACTCTCAGCGAGATACAAAGAAGCCTTTTAGAGGACAACTTTACCTGATGTTGCTTGGCTGGAAACAAGTTTTCACTTGGAGGAGCATTTGAATGCTGAGAATGAGGACTACGAAACCCACCTTCCTGCTGAAAATTTGGGGACTGTATTTCAGACCTGAAAGTATCCCCACCACTTGACACAGAAAAATCTGAAGCCCTTGGAGCAGACCTCTCATTTGCGAATTGGTCTTCAAGCGTATGATCACTAAAACGCCCCGGGCTGTATACAAAACTAGAAGCTTTAGAATGAAGACCTTTTACTGAAGCAGACTTGCCAGTGAGTCCCAAGGGTATCTTTCCGTAACGCCGCTCTTCATACTGATAGTCGTAAGGAGGGCTTTGGGAGTAAGAATGATACGAGTTGGCCCGTCGAGTCACATCTTCAGAACTTCCGTGGCTCTGTCAATTGCATTATAGGAAAGTAAAATAAATAAACGTTCACTGCAACTCAAAGGAAAATTTCAAATTACAAACTTCCAAGTGAAAATATTTTTATTAGAAGACTGAAATAGTCAAGTAAATACTGGGATTCTTGCCTGATTATCATTAGGAGGCTTGTCGGCAGCATTTGCTCCAGCATATTTCTTTTGGACATAGACATTTTTAATAAACTCGCGAACTCTCTCAGCATTACTGCCAAAGAAACAACAAAAACATGATACCATGGATATTAAACAGATCATTTTTTTGAGGTGATAACTTAAACATAATACCATCATAGAAAATTAAAAGAGATCAAAAAAGTAAATGATGTAAACCTGTTGTCCGGAAGTCTCTGCCGTTGATGATCCCAATTTTTCAAATATATTTCTCTGGCACGCTGAAAATAGGGAAAGTCTCTCATAAGCTAAAAAGAAAAACATCTAATCTCTAGAGAGAAATCAAAAAAGCTAGCATCAATATATTACCTGATTACCACCATTTTGAAGTACTTCAACCTCTTGAGAAGTAAACGTTGACATTGATACAGACTTCACACGATGAGTGAACTCACGACTGTAAAGGTATCAAAAACAAAACTCAATGATGAAAAAACACAAAAACTAAAAGAGGAGGAAGGTGGTTGGGTTACACTCACTGAATGCCGCTACAAGGCATGCAAACAAAGGTCCAGAAAGTGGTGCAAACATATTGAGGACCCTGCACCAACGCAAGTCTATTTAATGTATAATACCACAAAATAGAAACCAAATCCAAAAACCACAAAGTTGACAACTTTTAGCTATTCCAAGCCTTTGTCTTTCCATAGAGGACAGATAATCTCAAAACGTTTCCTATACTAGAGACGATCGAAAAGAAAACCCTAAAACATTTTAATCATTCCAATGATAATCCCAGAAGCTCAAGTCAAAGACTAGCAGCGAAACGAATCAATAGAGAGATGAGAATAATAATAAAAAAAAGAGAGAGAGTCATTGTTGTAATCAAAAAAGGAAAGAGGGTTTGAGGGATTACGAGGGAATTGCAGTTGATACAACGACGATTGGGAGGAAGCTTCATAAGCCCACGAATAATCTTCTCCTTCTTTTCTTCTTCTCTTTTACTTCCCATTTCTACCCTCAAATCAATTAATCTCTTTCTCCTCCCAAAAAAACGAAACGAAAGAGCGACCTCCCTCTTTTTGACTCGGTGGCGATTTCGTGAAATCGGGGGAAAGGTTTGGGCTTTAAGTCTCTGCTAATCAATCGATTTTGATTTTGATTTGGGAGGATTTTTCAAAAAAAGCTCCAATTTGAATTTCAGAGCAAGAAGAACGCCTTTTTTTTGTTTTTGTTGTTTTATCCTCTCTTTGAATCAATCAATGAATTTGAGAAAAAATAAATGTCGTATTCATCTTTCCCTCGTGGGTGGGCTTTTTTGGCTAAGAGCCTAATAAAGACCTTATGATTATTAAATGATAATGACATTTTTAATTTAGACACAATTCACATTCATATTCATTCTTTTTTTGAATTAGGCATATTCATATTCATACCAGCTCTTTTCTACTTTTGGATCCATTTAAATTCTGAAACTTCATTGCTTCTAAATGTTTTTCATGTAGTGTGTGTTTTGTTGAATCCAACTTGGGCCATACATATTTAAATTTGTTAAGAAATGAAGATGGTGGTTGGGACATATCCGGAAATGGACCAGACCACATCAGTACTATACCAGGCGGCCAAGCATCAGTCACTATCCTCCCTTGTGTTTATCCATATGTTGTAGTTATCCTAATCATTATAGGATTAGGATAATCATCCCCTTTATTGTTGTAATCCTTATCTCCTAAGGAATATGCT